ACAGCTAAGATGCTGAACAACAGCTCAACCTGGAGCTGGGCTGCTGTGAGTCGCTGGCGACGGCGTAGGCTGCAGTCCTCTGCTGCCATGGGTTGCCATGAGCTACTGTGTGTAGCCAGTAGCCAGTGTGAGCAGCCGTCCAGAAAGCCGGCGACTGATCTGCCTCGCCAGGGAAGAGCGCAATGATGGTGCCAACTTGGGCCAGTGAAGCAACGTCCTCCATAACTAGACTGAAGAACAAAAGGACAGCAACTTGTCTGTCTCCCTTCCCCAATTCCCCAGCACTGTTCCCATCCCCCAATCCCCCAATAAAAATCTTTAAAAAGAAATGCCCATATGCATTTTAGTTACCAAATGAACACAGAGGATCAGTAAGAAAGAATAGTCTTAAGATAATGGTTGACTGGAGGTGCAGTTAATGGGAGAAGAGAATTAAGGAGATAGAGAAGCAGGCTTGGCACGAAAGACCAAGTTCAAATAAATGGAGGCTTTGGGACATCCTGGAAGACGGATGGTGATTTGAAACTAAAGAGAGTGAGTGATCTCTGAATTGGGAGTAAAATTTGGGATCTTTTTATAGATAGGAGCCAAGAGTATATGTAATATAAGAAGAACCTGGAAACAGAATCCTAAGAAACGGCAATATTTACAGAAGATTAGAGAAAGTGCCCATGAAGGAGACAGAGAAAAGAAAGAGAATCAAGAAACAGGAGTGGTACCATAGAAACCAAGGGAGAAGAAGACCCTGGATAAGGAGGCAGTCAGCAAGGTCAGGGGGAGCTGTAGGCCATAGGACGGGAAAATGCTCTCTCTTCTTGCACTTAACAACTCAGACTCAGTTGGTAGGAGCAGTTTCAAAGAAGCTATGAGTAAGGAGTACAGGAATAATAAAAGTATTAGTTTTTCATTGCTGCCATTATAATGACCACAAACTTATTTTCTCACAGTTATATAGGTCAGAAGCCTGATACAGGTCACACTGAGCTAACATCAAGGTGTCAACAGGGCATCATTTCTTACTGGAAGATCTGGGGAGACTCCACTTCCTTGCTCATTCAGGTTGGTGTCAGAATTCAGTTCCTTGTGGTTGTAGATGGAGATTTCTGTTTCCTTGTTGACTGTCAGCTGAGGGCTGTTTTCAGCTTCTAGAGACCACCCACTTTCCTTAGCTCATGGCCTCCTTACTCCATCTTCAAGGTCCAGTGGTGGATGGAGTCCCTCTCTTCAAAACTCTTTTGCCCATCACTCATTGACTTCCTCTTCTATGTTTGAGGGCCCATGTGATTATTTTGGGCCAATCTGGGTACTCTAGGGTACTCTGCCTATTTTAGGGTCAGCTGTTTAGCAACCATAACTCCATCTGCAAGGCCCCAAGGATTAGGGTATGGACACCTTTGGGGGGATCATTATTCTGTCCACCATAGGAAGTTAGAAGTATTAACAGTTAATGACATCTTTTTCTAGAAGCTTTTGTTAAGGAAAGGAGTACCTAGACATTTATATTATCTAGTGTGTGATAATTGTAGTTCCAGTAATAAGCCTTACTGTTTATCCTGGAACTTTTTAGCTAAGAACTACAAGTATCTTCTTAAATATTGTGAAATTTGTGTGAACACTAAAATTTTAGTGTCATAGAAATATAAAGTAATACCATGAAGTTGTTGTTAGTCTTTATATTTTTATGTAGCCTTAAGCTGCTTTAAAATCTTTGCTGGAAAGATTTTTAAAGGCCATTCAACTAACTAACTACATGTACATAAAATATAATTTGAGTACACATAAAAATATGGGTTTTAAAATATAAAACCCACAGACACTGGAATGTCTGTTTAAAGGATGGAACATAAGATGAAAACTTAACCTCATATTGTATTTTATAAGCCTAGAACTTTAATGTCACATAGTGAGGATTAAATTATTAAACCTTTTAACTCGAGATCCTTAATGAAAGGAATGTAGAGCTTGACCAAAGACCTAACTTTGAGTCTTGCTGCTTCTATTTAATAGCATTTTATATCCTTGGGTAAGTTACTTATCTATCTCCTTGAGCCTGACTTATGTATAATGGGATATTAATACCTCCAACATAGTTCAGTAAAGATTGGATTAATATGCTGGAAACACAGTAAGTTCTCAACAATCAATATGTGGCCTTTTATTACTGGCTTCTTTCACTCAGCACCATGTTTTTGAGATTCATCTAACTTGTAACAATGTATCAGTATTCCATTCTGGTTTATTTCTAAGTAATATTCCATTATATGGACAATCCACATTTTGTTTATCCATTGATCAGTTAATGGACATTTGGGCTGGCTTTTTGGTTATTGAGAAAAATGTTCCATTAAACATTTATATTCAAGTTTTTGTGTGGTCCTCTGGTTTCATTTCTTTTGGGTAGACACCAAGTAGTGGAATTGCTGGGTGCTATAGTAACTATTTTTAACATTTTGAAGAACTGCCACACTATTTTCCAAAGCTGTTGCATTGCTTTACATTCACACCAGCAGTGTATGAAGGTTTCAATTTCTCCACACCCTCCCACACTAGTTACAGTCTCTTTTTTATTAAAGCCATTCTGATGAGTGTAGAATGCTATCTTGTGAATACGATGTTTCTTCAGCAGACCCATATAGACCTATTAGATATGTTCTGGAGGATCTATATTTCTCTCTAAGAATTGCTTTTTTTAAAAGTTTCATATTGATGTTAACTTTGGGAAAAAAGTAATAGAACTATATTCTGATTCATCTGGATGACTAATCACATTATAACGTAAGACTGCCACACTATTTTGGTATCCACATTTAATTAGTTCCATTGGCACCAAGAAACAAAACTTGAAATTTAACATGCTAATGGGAATAAAGGAAGACATAATTATATAAATCATGTATTTCTGCCCAAAGTCTGCCAAATTATATGTGGCTTCTTCTCCTCTCAATTAATGCTGTAAGGAACAGAAGTTTCCCAGTGTTTGAATAGAAAAATGATTAGGTAATTGTCACAGTATTATAGGAATAATAAATGCAAAGGACTTGATCATAGCTAACCTGATTGCAATAAGCCCGATATTTATTTGGTTTTTAAACTGTTATTTGATTTCAGCAAAAGACTATCACATTAAATTTTGATAAAATTATTTTTTAAAGTTTTTTTCATGTTTATGTAAAATGTATTTTGATTGTATAATTGTAAAATTTCCAATTGTGTGTTATATACACTTAAGCAACATTGTAATAAAAAAGTAACTTAAACAAACATTTAGGAATCATCCTTTTTTCTTTCCTTTAATGGGGTCTGCATATTATTTAAGTTTTGTAATCACTGTTATCTGTATCTTTAGGTTTCGTGCCATTGCTCTTTGTTTTAAGAGGCAGGCATGTAATTTTAGAATCTGTGTCCCATGAGAGTTAAAGTTTGTATTTTCAGTCGTTCAAAGCACAATTTCTTTTCTTTTTCTTTCTTTCTTTCTTTCTTTCTTTCTTTCTTTCTTTCTTTCTTTCTTTCTTTCTTTCTTTCTTTCTNATTGGGGAAGGGGAACAGACAAGTTGTTGTCCTTTTGTTCTTCAGTCTAGTTGTGGAGGACGTTGCTTCACTGGCCCAAGTTGGTATTATCATTGCACTCTTCCCGGCTGAGGCAGTTGGTCACCAGCCATTGGACAGGTGCTCACGGCAGCTCATGCCGGCTGCCAGCCACTCACGCTGGCTGCTGGCCACTCTCAGTAGCTTATGGCAGCCCACTGCATCCCCATTGCAGCCTTCGCTGCCGCTGGCGACTCCCGGTAGCCCAGGTCGAGGTGTTGTTCACCATCTTAGCTGTAGAGGGCGCAGCATCACTGGCCAATGTGGGATCCAAACCGGGGCCCTGCTGCTCAGAGCTGGTGTCCCAAGCCAGCTTTTAACCAATGCACCACTTGGCCAGCCCCATAATTTATTTTCTTAATGATTTGTTTTAAAAGCCACCCTGGAATAATGGAGGTATTAAGGAGAAATTATTTCTTTGTAATAAGTATACTTACACATATTTTTCACAACTTTATTTTCACTGATAACTTTTAATTCACAGATAATCAATATGTATTTCCAAAGCTCTTGGCTGTGTTTGGGTCTCCTATTCGTCTCAGTTAATGCAGAATTTGTAGATGGTGGTGTTGAGGTGGAAGACTTGGGGGGAAATTCAGAAGAGACTGAGAATGAAGGGGAGCTCTCCTCAGAGGTAAGTGTGTTGAAAGTGAGTTGTAAACTATTTCTTTACATGATACATAGGAGTGACTCATCTCTTAAGATTTATTTCAATCCTATAGTCTTCATTTTCTAAATAAAGAGAAACACTGCTTTTGCCAACTATTTGGTGCTTTGTGTTTTAGAGTGCCCACGCACTACAGAAATTTGTGCATGGTACTTAGCATGGTTTTATTACCCAATAAATATGGGGAAGGTTTTTACTGTCAAAACTGGAGTTCATCACTGGCCAAAAAGGATTAAGTACTTCCAGCTAAGAGAAGGGTTTTCAGTCTTATTTCTGACACTGCCAGCTCTCAGATAAAAGCAAAGGTAGTATAATTTACAGTTCTCCTAGAAATAAAGTAGCTTTTCTTTATTTCTCTGAGGGAAGACAATGCTAAGTAGGAAGATGAATTAGGAAGAGAAATGTTGATGAGATAGGCAGTTAGTAAAACTCAACTGTGTTTCTGTCTCAGCATTAAGATGCATTGTGAGGTGGTGACTAACAGGAGTCTGAGAACCTTGACTGAGAGTTTTGTACATCTTGACAATCCATAAGACAATTCACACTGAGGAATATGCATATCTAACATTAGGATAATCAGAAATTTTCTCCAGAAATATTTTTGATGGTGAAAAAGCATTAATTGTATTGTGCCAGCTACTTCTTAAAGGGCCAAGGAGAATAATATATAGTTGTTATGAACTACATTGCCTCACTTTTTTTTAGAGATTTTTTAATTTACAAATGCAAGTGTTCAGTTGTTTAAGGTGAACATTCATTCTCCTGTTAAAATTTCAGCTCCACAAGCACATTTCTTTTAAAGCCTAGTTCTGTGAACCACAGAAAAGAAGTGATCCAAGTGCTGATGACTGAGTTAGATACAAGTACTACAAGGGTCTTTGGAGGTTAACATTTCAAAGGTATTGGCAGATACCTACCACTGTTAACTCTATTTGGTGATAATTTGAAAAGATAAGAAGTAGGAAAGAACAATTTTGATTTTAGACCTTTTTGATTTTATAGCAATCTGGATATGGCAAAGTACAATAAGTAAAGTATAAATAAAAGGCAAAACAAACTGCTGGTGATTTAAATCATGATTGGACAGAAGAAGGAAGCCTCTTGGGACACTAGTGCCCATTTTTCACTTTGCCAATCCATAAAAATATAGAGAATAGTAAAGTAATTCAGTAAACTTCATAGAAGATTGGCAATTTTGGTAGCAGAATCTTGATCCTGTCAATAATTATATGGAATTTTGTTTAATTACTGATTTTCCTCCCTTTAACAGACAGGAAATGTTGTACTATCAAGGCAGGGTAGGGACAATGAAAACAGCAAAAGTGCTTCTGCATCCTTGTCTCTAAAGGCTGAGGAAGAAATCCATAATTAATCATACAAATAAAATCACAAAGGCTGATTCAGAAAAGACCCAGATATTACAGAATTGTACACCTGAAACCAATGTAACTTTACTAACAATTGTCACCCCAGTAAGCTTTAATTAAAAAAGAAATTTCTTTATTACAAGCAAGAAAAAAAGAAAGGACCCAGATTAATCTGTTACTTTGGGCAAAATTTAATCATTCATCATAATTCAAATTATCTTCTGATAATTTGTCAATAAATTATCTTTAATCTTTTAAGTGATTTTGTTCGTACATTTTACATAGTTTAGTGGTTAAGTGTATAAGCTTTGGAGCCAGACAGCCTGGGCTAACATCTTTAAGTCCTACAATTATTTAACTGTGAGACAATGGGCAAGTTACTTTGCTCTCTCCCACAGTTTCATTATACATAAAATGGGTACAATGATAGTACGTCCTTCATAGAAGTATTAAGAGGATTAAAAGAGCCTCTGTATCTCCAACACCACCACCACACCACCACCATCACCACCATCATTATCATAATCATCATAGCAGCTAATAGTTACATGGCACTTGAAACAAAGCTCTGCTAGTAATTGCTTTGCAGTGCTTTTTTTATTGAATATTTTTCTTCTCTGGGTTCCTAATTTCTCAAAATGATATCATCATCTTGTCACCTAACAGTGAAATTTAAGAGTTAATTTTAAACTAGCCTACATGCTTACTAAGTTTTTCATATATGTTTTTGATCATGCTATATCTTTTGTTTCCAACTATTTTTTATCCCCAAGTATTGTCATCTGTTAGAATCCTTTTAAGGTCAACTGTATCATTAAGCCTCTAATTACTTATTCCTATTCCTTCTGTGTTAAAAGGAATCAATGTATCTTCTGTTTGCACATACAGTATATTTTTCTATCATCTTACCTCTTATGTTCTCTTGTATCTTATCACCACTAGGATACAAAGTTTTGAGGTCAGAGACCATGTACCTTATATCTATATTACCTGTATATCCATTACATATTCAGTTCTTAACTAGTGATAGTATTTAATTAAAATATTTGTGAAGATGAATAACTTTAGATTTTTAAAAATTATCTTCTAGATTAAATATAAGACACCACAGCCTGTAGGAGAAGTATATTTTACAGAAACTTTTGATAGTGGAAGATTGGCTGGGTGAGTATGCATTCAAGAGAATGTTTCCCTTGATTTGATTAACCATTTTGAAGTTATTGGTTATTGGCCTATGAAAATTGCCTCTACTGTGGAACTATAAAAAATGTTAAAGTGTTTTATTTGACAGTGTAAACCAGTACCTTAACACATTTTTGTTACTGATAGAAATGATTACTTTGAATAGCTATTCATTTTTATAAAGAAAACGAATTATGAATTATGAAAAATGAATTATGAATGTAAAGTGAAATTTATAACATTTCTTCATCCCTTAGGACAGATATTAATAATCTAATTTCACATGACAAATTCAAGGTAGTGTTCTAGTCTAAATAATGCTAAAACTATAGAAGTTATTATTTATTGATTGTTATATGCCAGACGCTGTCCTAAGTAGGTAGGTAAGTTTTATCTTTACCTCATTTTATAGGTGAGAAACTGAGGCTTAGCGTATTTTACCTGTGATCACATAGCTAGTAAACTGCAGATTCCAAATTGGATTTAACTCTGGCCTTGCAGGATTATGTATAGGTGTCTTTATTTAGTATTTATTTATTTTTGAATGTGGAGTGGCTATTGGGTTATCTTTTTTTGTGTTTCTAATATGCATTGCATCTATAAATTGCTGTTTTTATTTTTAATGATATACATTTGATTTCATCTTTATTTATAGGTGGGTCTTATCAAAAGCAAAGAAAGGTGATACAGATGTGGAGATTTCTATATATGATGGTAAAATATTTATTTAAATATTCAATATAACCAGTATGACCCAAAGTTCACTAGCTTTTGAGATTATATTTCTAGATTATATTTCTATTCAACATATGTATCTATATACTGTATGTATATATATGTATATGCACACACACACACACACACACACACACACACACACACACACACACGGCCTGAGGCCCCATCCTGCTTTACAATGGAATGTTCATTCTTATCTTGTCTATTTCTGGAAGTCCCTGGGTAATCCATACTTAAGCCATCATCCAGTTTTCTAACTCTCAATAGTTGAATTTTCACTCTACTGCAGTTAATCGTTCGATTTCCTGAAGCAGCATTTCCCAGCCTATGCTATTTTCTACTGTTTCATCTCAAGCATGGGCACACCTAGATCAAGATATAACTTATGGCAATATTCTCCTACCAAGTACAAAACAGAGGATAATTCATGAGAGCTACAAACTATGCCTTCAGTCCTCATACCCATCATCATTGGGTCTCTGACAGAATTATATTCAGGCTTAGCTATAGAAAGAAATGTCCTCTATGCAAGTCATCTTTTTCTTCCCCAACAGGACTTTCCTGGAGTAGGACAAAAGAATTTCTTCTTCCTTCTAGTCTAAAACCAGCCTCCTCAGTTGTTATATCCTAAAGCAAGACCAGCCTTTTCTCAAGGTGACCCCCAGTGGGCATTTCCTCACTCAGACGACCTCATACCCATAAAGATGGGACTTCACACTCAGACCCCAACAGGCAGTTACACGAGAACAGCAGCAGAACAAATAACAGCATGTGAAGGAAGTCAGCTGTCTGCTTCCTTTTTGTAGTTTGTTTTAGTGTGACATAAAGGTCATGCCTGCGTGTCTTCCTCTGCAGTGTTCTCCATCACAGCAAATTCTGTGTTCTTATATATGTTTATAGAATCCAAAAAGAACTCTGCCATGTGCACAGAACAAGCAATACTGCGTTCATTCTAAACCCATTAGAGAAAGAATCATTTCTCCCAAAGCAGCAGCAAGTCTGCATAGAGAAAGTGCTACCTTAAATATACCCTCAGGAATACACATTATCATGCAGCATGCTAGGCCTAAAACATTTATGTTTAGGTTACTTTATGTTCTTTTCTGAGAACATTGGGTAGCTATTTGCTTCATATTTGTATGTTAAAAGAATCTGTTGATGGAGTTTCCCTAATATTAAGATGTGGTCTATCTTATGAGTGAGTTCAAGTTTCTATTTATTGCTGGACAGAAATGGCTTTCAGTGTTTAAATGAGATTTTTTTCTTCAGCTTAAAATTAAAAATCAAACAAGCAAGCAAAAAACAAACTTCTTAGCACCCAGGTTTGGTCTGTAGTCTTATTAAACATAAATCTCCATGAAAATAATATTTTAGCACATTGAATTTAGTGTTGTTTCTGGCTGGCTTTTTTCAGTTTCTTGGAAGCAACTTTGAAAAATATGAAATTCCTTCAAGTTCCAGCTCCTGAGAAATGGTAATATTTTGGATATCAGAATTGGCAGTGCTGTTTACATAATGGCTAGTTGAGACCAGTACCAGGTTTCTTTGCAGGAATATTTAGTATTCACAATAGTTAATGACAGCTGCTGTCAGGTGCCACTTCAGTAAGACTCATTCCCAGCTTTTCAGGACTAAGCAAATCTGCATGAATCGTCATGTGCTGGGGCACGGGGTTTGCATTGGGAGTAGACTTAACCTAAATTTTTCAGTTTGTTACTAATAAAAGTACTATAGATGTTTAATAAATACCAGTTCTTTAAGTGACCAACTTTCAGGATGTCTTCGATCATATGAATTGTTTTTGAAATTTTATTTACATCAGAATTTATATTACCTGGTATTGTCCAAATTTGACTAAATGATCAGTTAATAGAAAATTATTGAAGATGGTAAAAACCTGTCATTGAGGAATAGTTTACCTTGTCAGAAATTTTCTAAAATTAAAGTGCTAGATGGTACCTTTTTCATAGTTGATACGTATGTGCATAATTACAAACAAGGCAACATAGTTTTAAAAATTCTTTACTATAAATATCCTGAAAATCCTAAAGATGAAGTTGTTTCTTCTTAAAATAAGACTTTTTTTGTCTTGATCAAACCACAGGTTAATAGTGATAATACAATTGATCATCAGTATGAGAGAAGAAACATCAAACTCATCTTTTTAAGAAAAGTATAGCATAACCAAAGTAGAAGGAGAAAAGGAAAAAAACACCTGAAAACTTTTAAAAATACATTTTTAAAAGCCCAATATGCACAATGATAGGCCTGTCTCTGATTCATAAGACTGTTCAGGTTCTTGCACTTTTGTTTTCTTAGAAAGAAAAAAAAGTTATAAAGAACATTAGTGATTCAAAAGTACTTGTTAGTGGGCCGGCCGAGTGGCGCGATAGTTAAAAACTCACTTGGGATGCCAGAGGGCCCCGGTTCGGATCCCACATATGAGGGCCAGTGACACTGCCCTCTACAGCTAAGATGCTGAACAACAGCTCGACCTGGAGCTGGGCTGCCATGAGTCACCGGCGATGGCTGCAGTCCCTGTGGCAGTGGGTTGCCATGGGCTACCGTATGTAGCCAGCAGCCAGCGTGAGCGGCCAGCAGCCGCAGTGAGCGGCCATCCAGAAGCCGGCGACTGATCTGCCTCGCCAGAGATGAGCGCAATGATGGTGCCAACTTGGGCCAGTGAAGCAACATCCTCCACAACTAGATTGAAGAACAAAACGACAGCAACTTCTCTGTTCCCCTTCCCCCAATTCCCCAGCACTGTTCCCATTCCCCAATTCCCCAATAAAAATAAAAATAAAAATCTTTAAAAAAAAAAAAAAAGTACTTGTTAGTATTTCAAATTGGCACAATACTGGAAGACAGCCAATTTTTGCTAAATTGAGTTTTTTGGAACAGACAACACCTATAGTTTTCAAAACAAATATTTTATACAAATTAATATAAATTGCTTATTTTCTATTCTAAATAGAGGAAAGGAAGAAAAATCTAGTCCACAGCTTTTGGGCTATAGGTAGGCCACCGAGCTTTGCATTGTAGGCAGGCCATGGTCTAATTTCAGGGGCTTTCCCACCCAGCAAGGGCCTATCTCCGTTTACCCAGCCTGGTGCCTCTCCCACGCTTGCTCTCTTGCCTGAAATTTCTGGGAACTGATTGGCTTAGCCTGGGAAGGGCAATTGCAATTTATGTTCATTGGGCGCACGAGTTTCAAAATAAAATTTAAATACCCGCAGTAATTCTGCAAAGTAAGAAAAGTTAACTAATGAATACCATGTATTTCAAAACAAAAAAGATTGATACAAACTGAGTCTCTTGTGTTAAGGATGGTCTTTGTCTCATATGTCATTTAAAAATAGCTCATTTTAAAAATGAAATGTTGATAGACCCTAGAGACAAGCATATTTTGCAATTTCATTGATTAAAAATTCTTTCAGAGAAATCCAAACTAAGCCAGTTTTAGAAGTGTTTTAATCAGACTGTAATGTTAGTTTCCATAATTTTAGCTAAGAAAATAAAACCACTCCCTGGTAAGAGAAAAAAGAGCAGGCGTATGTACAGCTGCAGATATTATTTCCTGATTTAAACTTTTATTTTTCCCAAATCAGCCTTCATGGAAAAATCTTATTGGTCACCACTGCTGACAAATAATTCTTTAGTCAGTGTTTTGGTTGTAGTTTAATTTGCTTTGCTTTATATTTTAGGAAGATGGGAAATAGAAGAATTGAAAGAAAACCGAGCACCTGGTGACAGGGGACTGGTGTTGAAATCTAGAGCAAAACATCATGCAATATCTACTGTATTAGCAAAACCCTTCATTTTTGCTGACAAACCTTTGATACTTCAGTAAGTTTTATTGTGTTTTTGAATATTTTCTAAGATTTATATTTTATATAATTTGGCTTTTGAATATAGTATAATGGGTATAAAATTGGCATAAAAATCTAGAGTTTTCTTGTCAGTTTCACTTACTTAACCACATAATGCGGGTATACACACAAACACCCCAAGGTTTCAAGTGAAAAGCAGGTTAATTTAAAAATAATATATACTGTAATATATAAAATTTTGCCACCATAAACTGTGTAATGCATCTAAAATGACCAATTTTAACTCTTTTCTTAAAATTACTTGCTACTAAGATATTAACCTCAGTACATTCATAATGAAACCATAAGTATTGCTGTTAAACCAGTGATAAGATTCAAAGGCAGCAAATTTATTTTAAAAAGGAAATGCATATATCGATCAGTGTCTTTATCAAGCGTGGCCTCTTTGAAAGGGCACATGTTTGCACAGATACCCCTCCCCTCCCACACAATGTGAGGTAAGCTAGTTTTATTATGATGGTTACACATATGTTTACTGTCATAAAATCAATATAAATTCCTCAAGCTTTTTCACCTATGCTGGTAGAAAACCAGGTTTATACAAATAAAATTACAAAACCAATAAAATTGAAATGAAAAACAAAACGAAATGTATAAATGTTACTTTCTACCTTGTATCAGAAGATTTTGCTGTCCAAAGTTAATTACAGCATAAGGAAATATTAACTATAAACTATATCGCTCTAGAACTACTTCAGTGTTTTGTTAACATGCTTAACATGTTCCAGTGTGGTATAACTAAAGTGCCTTTTTGCATTTTAGAAAATTTTAAAAATATGGCCTTTGGTGTATTTGGCTTAATTTTGCAGTTGTGATACTTTCATTTAGCTGCATTGTCATTTCAGTAAATCTAAAATATTAATATCAAAGAGTATACAACTGTTTAAACCAAAATATTGTTACAAGTACTTATTGGGACCAATATTTGAGCTTGATATTTATCACTGAGGATTTGATTTTTCTCTTGGAAGTTTGAAAGTAACTTTATTCTGTTGAAAGTTAAGTGAATATAATATCACTTTCTATTTTGACCCTTTGTGGCATAAATAAAAGGATAAAGGAAAATAACATCAAGTTTAACTTCTCCAGAATAAAATGAATCAAATTTAGTATTTTCAGAAAGTATAAATCACTGAAGCAAAAGTTAGCTTGTGAAATTAGAAGCAAAGATTAGATAAGAAGTCTAAAAAATTAAAGCAGTTGTGAAATTATTATCCTGAAAAAAGAAAAGGTTAGCACCAAGAAGAAGATATGCTTGAAAACAGTTCAAAGAAGGAGAGTGAATGTTTGTCTTAATATTGATGAAATGAAATGGGATACATAAATTATATTGACCTCTATAAATACTATGGATTTATGACATAATGTTTCTCTAAAGCTGCTGTTTCCAAATTGTGTGCATTATGTGGTCATATAAGTTTTAGAAACTAAGAATATCATAACCTTAGAGATAGGGAAGCATGTTTGCCCATTAAAGACTTTGAAAAGTTCTACAGATAAAAATTGATTTGAAATTTTAATACTGTGTTTCTCAAACTTATTTGACCACGGAAGTTATTTTCACCCAACAGCAATTACAATTTCATGGGACAGTTTGGGAAATGATACTCTAAAGAAAATAGAGTTAACATATACTCTGCTTACATCGTTATTTTTTCTGTGACTAAAGATTAGCAGCAGGCAAGCTATATGATATACATTTCATCGATCTCTGATTCATTGTGAATTATTTATACTAGGCACAAGTTAATGACTTGAAAACTCTGAACGTTTTCTGTGTAAGAAATAGACGCTATGATTGAGTCCAGACATAATAGGACAACAAAGCTATGTTTACATTTATACAGACAATTTATAAACTGTTCTTTCTAGTATTTAGCTTTTCTTAGAACCCTTTGTCCTTAGATCACCTATAATAAAGCCATCTCTTTTTATATGTACATTTAATTCACATTCTACACCATTGTTTTTACTTTATAGTCCTCAAAGACATGAATTTCTTTGTCAGCTACTGCCTAAAATAAAAATATTGATAAGCTTGGGGAAAATAAGTTGTTCTTTATTTTTAAAAAATGAAAACAATACAAAATCTTTCTTCTGATCATAAGAGAAGCTACCATTTTTGAGCACTTATTTTCCCATCGCTGTGCATGATATCCTTTTAATCATCAGAACAATCCTTTGAGGTGTAGGTAGGGGCAGTGTCCCCATATGATAGATGAGCAAATAAAGACTTAGAGCTTAAGTAATTTGACTTTACCCTTGGTGTCACTAGGATCAAGAATAAATCTCAGGTCCCTCTGACTCCAGAGTACATGCTTGTCACCTCTGTTGTAGAGATCTTGAGAAATAAAGCAGAGTAGGAAGGGGATGGGGGCGCGGGGGTAGCACCATAGTCTGGCAACTCAGAGATAATCACTTAGAATTTTACTGTATTTTCTGTTCTTTTTTATACAAAATATATACACTAATTGGGTTCAAACTGTCAAAGTATTGTATGCTATTTTTTTACTTCTAATAAAGTTTCTTCAAAAACATTTTAAACAATACTTCTTTATTAAAATTATCACTAGTTCCTGTTGCTTCTCTAGTTTTCATCTGTCTTTTAATTCATTAAACCAAATGATAACCTTTTTGGTTTTCACTGTTTTTCACTGATAGTCATTTCCTCATTGATCTTTGTCATGTGTAATTCATCAATTCACCAAAAATCTTTTCTAAATACTGTCCAATAAATCTATATCTCATTGCCTAAACAAGGCTATTTCCTCATAAAAGTTTTTCTTCCCCTCCCCTGCTCCGAGAGTTACTCAATGTTGTAAGTCCATGAAAGGAGTCTCATGTCAGTGTACTCTTTTAGCTGTTATATTTCCCATATCTCTTGGCTGTTAAGGTCTGAAATACTCCAGGTTCTTGATTGAGATGATACAATCTCTTTGCTGGATGTGTTAAATGTACAATTTATTTAACATTAGATTAGGTGTAAATGAACTAAAAGACAAATTAGCAGTGATCTGGATTTCTGAGATCATTAGCAATTTCTTAGAAATCTATTGCTGTAGCTGTGGCCCTCAAAGTCTTTGTTTTTTAATCTAAAGAAATTGTATAGTACATACCTTATCTGAATTTGAAGTTTCCTGGAATAGTTTTAGTCAAAGTATTCTATACTTAATTCATCAGTTTTGGTGGAAAACATTGTTTCAAAAATTAGTTGGCTTTTTTATAGTTGATAATCATTCTACTTTTAATATTTTAAGGACGTGCATAGAAAAAGCACTTCTGTTTATTTTCCATAGGTTGTCGATATGCTTAATATGGGCTTTCTGGCGATGTAAAACATTTATGTTTAAATGAGTTGAGAATAACACATTAGATTTTAAAGAGCAATTAGTAATTTTGATTTATCAGCAGCATGATTCTTTTTCCCTTCATTTAGATATGAAGTAAATTTTCAAGATGGTATTGATTGTGGAGGTGCATACATTAAACTCCTAGCAGACATTGATGGTTTGAATCTGGTATGATATTTTAATGTTTAAGAAAACCTTATTAAAGTTAAGTATTTTAAGGAGTAGTTGATAAAACTGAAGTTTATATTTTTCAACTGAAATCTAAAAGAACTTGGAAAATCTTTATCCGATGTGAATTTATGTGACTTTTACAGTGTGCCTACAAGTTTCATATACAACTGTGTTACTTGACGGCACCCAGCTTTGTAATCTTCAGCAACGTAATAAAGTTTGCCACGTCTATAAGCAAAAAAATAACATGGTGCTTATAAATGTCATTGAAAGATCAGCTTACAGTTATTTCCTTTACAAAAGAAGAATCATAAGTTCAGAGAAATTAGATAACATAGCAAAGCAGTAAAATTAAATGGTCAAAGAACCACATTAAAAAAAGGTGGGCCAGTTTAGGAGTTGGCGGCCCATAAAAAATGACAAAATGTTTTCATAATGAAGCAGGTTGTGTTAGGACCATTTGAAGGTTGGAGATATTTCTTAGAGCATTCTCCTACAGGCGCCTATGTCAGCGTTTCTGCATACGATAGAAATAAGATAGATGAGACATCAATGAGATACTTGTCAGAATACAAGGCTATGCATAGGCTGTGAAACATGGATTAAGGATTCATGTACCATTGTTAAAATCAGGTAAAGGGGAGGCTATTTGTATATGGGAAGCCCTTGTTTTAGGTATGATACGGTGATGATCACCTGAAGGTATAATGACAATAATAAAATCTAATGCCAAGTAGCAGTATTCTAAGCACTTTATCTGATTAATTCAGTTAATCCTCAGAGAAACCTTACAAGGTAGGTACTAGTATTCTGTCTATACTCAGAGGTGATGAAACAAAACTGCAGAGAGGTTAAGAAATTTGCTCAGGGACACATACAGCTAATATAAGTGGCAGTGGTAGGATTCGAACCCTAATGTCCGACTCCAGAGCCTATGCTCTTAACCAGCAGGCCATGCCAAATAAAGAGAAATTGCTGGGAGTGTAACAGCAGTAAAAACAGTCTGTGTCTGTTTTTGTGTCTGAATCTCTCTTCCCTCTGTGCTCCAGGAGGGTCATTTTCTAGTATATTCCTGAATAATAGCAATGGATAATCATTATAGTCTTAAGGTCATAAGTATGATTTTCCTCCATCTTAATTTTCTTAATAAAATAATAATACAGATTTACATAAAGTAATTATAAAACTTATTATGATGTTGCTAGGATGGTTTCCACTTCCCTCCTACATCTTCAAGTAGGAAGTATTGTGTGCTTTTTAAAAAATATATATTTTGAAATAAAACTTGTCATTTTTCCACATCCTTTATTGTCAATTGTGTCAAATAATTCTTTGGTGAATTAGCATTGAATACATTTTTGTAAACTCTACTCAATTGGATAGAATAGAGAAATTCATTAAATACTGTAATTATGGACTAATCCCAAAACTCCTTTCTCTTTGAAGGAAAACTTTTATGATAAAACGTCCTATACCATTATGTTTGGACCAGATAAATGTGGAGAAGATTATAAACTTCATTTTATCATCAGACATAAACATCTCAAAACTGGAGTTTTTGAAGAGAAACATGCCAAGCCTCCAGATGTAGACCTTAAACAGTTCTTTACAGACAGGAAAACTCATCTTTATACCCTCGGTATATCCTTTCCATTCATTTGTTCATTCATTCATTCATTCATTCATTCCAAAATGTTTGCTGAGTACTGGTATTTTCATGGCAAGTGTTTTGGGATAAACAAACATGGATCTTATCCTAAAGGAGCTTATCTTTTTAGGAAAATAAAACAGACAAAATTCTAGCATATGCAGAAAGTAAAGTGCCATTTGAGAGGTACATATGAGCTATAGTTAAGAGTTCAAAAGCAATATCATTTCCAGTTTGGAAACCCAGAAAACCTATTGGAGGAGCTTATATTTGAACTAGTCTTGAAGTGTAGATAGAATGTGGAAAATAGGAGGGGGGTAGGATATTTTAGGCACTGTGACATTAGCGGTGCTGTAAGAACAGAAAACTGGAAAATAAGGTTGAAGAGGAAGAAGTCTGTGAGGCCAAGATAAAAATCTTAGACTTCATAGGCAGTTGTGATTATTGTTAGCTCTTGCCTTGTGGTTGTGGCCTGTATTTAATCTTTGAAAGGGAAAGCATTGAGCAACCATTAACACACTTAGCTTTACGTGATATAAACAGGGGTGTGCATAGAATTTGAGGGGGAGGAATATTGTAAGGGATTGTTTCTCTTCCCAAGCACATATGGTTGTAGAGCTGTGGTCTTCCCAGGATTACATAAAATCACAGCATGCGAGACCCTAACAGGACAAACTCCATCCAAGACTAAGGTTTTTCAGTTTTCTTTCCAAAGACTGCAGTTGCAGAAATATTCACTTTGTCTGCCAAGGCAATGACCAATTTAATTTTAATGTCATTAAACAACATTAATGACAATGTTTATTGTCATTAAACAATAAATATCAAAGACCTTATATAAAATTGGAAACTAGTACTGGACAATTTGGGTAACATAAAGTAAACTGTAGAAATAATGAGAAATTAAGTAGAACAAAACAAATGAATTGAATCAGACTTCGTACAAACCTGGTCAGAAGCAATTTGCTAGTATGTATTTAAAGGCCATAAGAAATAGAGGAGTTACCAATGTATTAAATTAGTCATTTTTAAAACTACAATTCCACTTTCAGAAATTTTTCCAAAGAAAATGACTTATGTGTGAAAATATACTGTAAATTGGAAGCAATCCAAATGTGATAGTAGGGGTTTTCTATCGATAACTATAAAATGTTTAGCAACGCAGAAGAAATGCTTATAATATTAAAATGGGGAAAGAAAACAAGATTGAAATTGGAGGCACATCATAATGGCCACTTAGGCAAATTATGCAAGCACATAGAAAAAAAAACAAACCAATTTTACCAATCATCTGATATGTACCATGCTGTATGCTAGGCACTTCAGAACCATCACATGACGGGAGCAGTTTCTCCCTATTTTGCCTTAATTTAGGTTGAGTAGCTTGCTCTAGGAAATAATAGTAACTGATAGGATTGGAATTGAAATTCAAGTCTGTCTCTTAAACATTTGTTTTTCTTACTCCTATATATATAAACTTCGTTGTGCTAAGATTGTTGAGTGACTTTGCTTTTTAAGAAAACTTTAATACAATTATATTTTTATAACATTATTCTATAGTTCTAAGAACCTTACAAAGTATCTTATTGTGCCAATGCCTTTTATTATAGATTCATTTAAAGTACTTAATGCAGTTTTCTAAATGGAAATTTTTTTGTGTCCAAAAATTTGGAGCAAAGATGTTTTTTCACATACGCCTATTTCTCATGTGCTTTTTGTTTTAAGGGTAATTTTAAAAAATTAATTTCAGTTGCAGAATTTATTCAGAAAACATTCTTTCCAAGATTTTTCTTGATAAACACATTTTTTTTAAGGAAAGATCTACTTTTTTGCATTTTAAAGTCTTACTCTTAGTTTTGCTTCAAGCTTGATTTTTTTCCTTGTTGCAGTAATATTGTATTATAATCTCAGCTGTTAATAGTAAAAGAGATTGTAGAGCAAAAAGAGAAGGGAGAAAATACTGAATGTGTGTTTATATTATTTCAGTTTGTATATAAATTGCTGTAGTTGATTTTGATATAATTTGTCATTGTTGTGACTGAAACCTCTGGGATTGTTACTAGTTTGGAACTATTTCTTCTCGAAATGGTAGCCCACTTATAGATGCGTCAGGATGATTCTGAAGTTTGTTGGCAGCTCCCACTTCCTTACTTTATTGAAAGCAAATGTTAGGCAGCTGTTTGCATCTATCATTCTTTCCAAAGATACAAATTTTACCCAGTGACCACCTTCCATGTCTACAGAAGGAGGAGAGAGCTTCTGTCTTGTCATTACAAAGGACAAAGGAGTCCTTATGAAATTTTTGTCATGGGGACTTTTAGAGAGTTAGAATTTACCTCAAAAATATTGATAAATATAAGTTTGAATAATTTTAGTTGTCCTTAAGATATTTCACACAGTGTATGTATGAGTCATTGAATTTGAAATGCCAATGAACTTTAAGGATTTCTAAGAAATGATAGTAATGTATTGATGTTAATTTCCTGCTTTGGGTGCCTAGATTGGGGTTATGGAGGAGAATATCCTTGTTTATAGGAAATATACATTAAAACATTCAGAGATGATGTCTATGAGGTCAGTAACTTATTCTCAAGTGGTTCAGGAAAAAATAAAGTTTTCTGTAGTGTACTTGCAACTTTTTAAGTTTGAGGTCATTTCAAAAAATTATTTTAAAATACTGCAGAAGATTGGGCTGTATTTTGCAACTATAAATGAGTGAAGGAAGCTGACTGGTTGTGTGAGTCCTAAAGTGAGCTAGCTATTGTGTATTTTTTATTTGAGATGAAATGGAGAATTCTATTAAATTATTAATTAAAGTAAAATTTTATCTTTGATTTTAAAAAGCATTAAATCTAGTGATTTCAGCATATTTTGATTTACTGCATTAGTGACCTCTCTCTTTCTGGTTGAGAGTAAATTTTACCCATTAAATTTAGGGTAGTTTTATTATTTAGAGGATTAGTTTTTAAATGTCTATCAATATGGTGAGTATAATGTATTTAAATTGGTCTTTAGTGATGAATCCAGATGACACATTTGAAGTATTAATTGATCAAATAGTTGTAAACAAAGGAAGCCTACTAGAGGATGTGGTTCCTCCTATCAATCCTCCCAAAGAAATTGAAGATCCCAATGATGAGAAACCTGATGACTGGGATGAGAGAGCAAAGATCCCTGATCCTTCTGCCATCAAACCAGAAGACTGGTAAGCAAAGAACTCAGTAGTAAAGCATTATTTGGCATAATAAAGTAATGACACATAACATCTAAGTGAAATTTACAGCTAATGAAACGTATTCTTTGAACATCAAAACTACTAATTTTAATTTTGGGGGGTGAAATAGTTTTCTAAACTGGATTTTGTACTTCACTGCTCTGCCTTTTAATTATCTTAATTTTCATTTTAATTACATATTTTAATTTTGTTACCTTTTTAATATATTTTTGTTTTTTATGCTTTCAGTGCTGTGGGGGAGAAATTCCATGACTATAAAACACCAACACTTGAATTTGAATTCCTAGTTTGATCTTTATTATGTATGTGTGTGCATATTTGTATTGTTGCAGTCTTTTCTGTTAATGATTAATTGACCTTAAAATAGGAATTTCTTCACATCTTTTAAAACTATGTAGGATTCACTCATACCAGTTTGCTTAACCATGAATTTTTTGCCAGCTGAGTATGTGTGCCATTTTCATTCTATAGGATTATGAATATTTTTCCTAAAAGAAATGTATTCAATCCGTGAGTTCCCGTAGCTTGAGTTCAGATGGTGAGAGATATCTGTATGTCTCTCCATTTACTGAGGTATTCTTTGTCCTTCAAATATGTTTTGTAATTTCTCTGTAAAGATTTTGTTACCTTCATTCCTAAGAGCCTTTTTTTTCCCCCTGCTGATTGGGAAACAGTTACGATTTTGCTAGGTAGATTACCTGTCTTTTTGTATTTAACCCACCTTATTAGTTATTTACTGATGTGTAACAAATTACCTAAAAATTTAGCAGCTGAAGACAAAGAAACATTAAGTCATCTAGTTCCTGAGAGTTGGGGATCTGGGAGTGGCTAGCTGAGTATTATGAATACTAAGTATGAGTTTAAAAAGTTCTGTTCTTAGTTTACTAAGAGTTTTTTTCTTCATGATTGGGTGTTGGATTTCCCAAAATACTTTTGGTGCGTCTATTGAGGTGACCATATAGGTTTTCTCCTGTATTTTCTTAGTATGGTGAATTGTTTTGATTGATTTTCTAACGTTGGACTTAACCTTACAATCTACTTGGTCAATAAGTTTTGTCCTTTGTATATTTGCTGGATTCTAATTTCATTTTTTTCTGTCAGATCTGTTGAAGTATAATTTCATACAGTTAAATTCATTTATTTTAGATTTACTGTTTTGTGTTACATTATACAATGATGTAACCACCACCACAATCATGATACAGAATATTTACATCGCCCAAAAAGTTCCCTCATATCCTTGTAATCAGTTCCTCCTCCCACCCTAAACCCCTGGCACTACTGATCTGATTTCTGTCCCTTAGAGTTTTGCCTTTTTAAAAATATTGTATAGAATGGAATCATACAGTATCTAGCTTTTGTTTCTGGCTTCCTTCACTTAGAATAATGCTTTTTGAAATTATAATTGTTGATATGGCTGGATATAAATCCACCATCGCACCATTGTTTTCTGTTTGTCCCATGCATTATGTCCTTTATGAAAAAATGTTTCCTGACCTCTTTTGGGTTGAGTTATTTTATTCTAGTCTTCTATTTTTTTCCTCTCTGTTGGCTTATTAGCTTCTGGTTTATTTAGTGGCTGCTCTAGGGTTTACAATATGCGTCTTTAACTTATTTCAGTCTACTTTCAAATAACATTATACCACTTCATGTCTAAGTTAACATTTTCCCCCTCCCATCCTTTGTGGTTTTATCATACATTTACTTTTTTTATTTTATTTATTTATTTATTTTTTATTGTTAGTTTCAGGTGTACAGAACAATGCAATAGTTATCCTTTTCATCCTTCACACACAAACAACCCCTGACCCCCATCTACTTCCCTCCCACCCCCGATATCATGCTTATCTATTACAATTCCATTGACTCCATTCCCACACTCTACTCCACATCCCGTGACTATACGTATATATATTTATAGTTGATATACATTATTATTCAACATCAGCTTCAGATATACAGTGCAGTGGTCAGGCCTCTACACCGACTATGAAGTGGTCTCCCCAACAGGACATGAGTCCATCTGGCCCCCTAAGAAATATTTACAACATTATTGATTATATTCCCCAGACTGTCTTTTCTATCCCTGAGGCCATAGTGTAGTTACCAGTTTGTATTGTCTCATTCCTTCCCCTTTTCCTTCATCCTCACCCCCTCCCAACTAGCAACCCTCAGTTTTTCCTCTGTGTCTCTGAGACTATTTCTGTTTACATTTCTCATTTATTCAGTTTTTTAGAATCCACGTATAAGTGAGATCATATGGTATTTGTCTTTCTCTGAGTGACTTATTTCACTTAACATAATGTTCTCTAGGTCCATCCATATCGTTGCGATTGGTACTATTTCCTTCTTCTTTATAGCTGAGTAACACTCCACTGTGTAAATGTACCACAGTTTCTTAATCCAGTCGTCTACCGAAGGGCATTTCAGTTGTTTCCAAGTCTTAGCTATTGTAAATAACGCCACAATGAACATAGGGGTGCATATATTTTTTTGGATTAATATCTTGGGTTTTTTTGGATAAATACCTAAGAGTGGAATTGCTGGGTCATAAGGTAGTTCCATTTCCAGTTTTTTGAGATACCTCCATACTGATTTCCATACATTTACATTTATGTATACTATGAAGGCCACAAATATTTATTTTCCAGTCAGTGTCTTTTAATCAGACACTGATGAGGGGAAAGGTCCTTTTATTCACTCACATATTTCCCATTTCTGGTACTCTTCTTCTTTAGTGTAGATAGAAATGTCTATCTGTTATTGTTTTCCTTCTGCCTAATAAAACTTCTCTTAACATGTTGTAGTGCATATCTGCTGTCATTGAATTTCTCAACTTTCATTTGTCTACAGATTTCTTTACTTTGCTTTCATTTTTGAAGGATATTTTTGTATTGGATTAAGGTTGATAGTTATTTTGCAACAGTAATGTCTTATCTTGGGGCTTGCATTGTTATTGATGAGAAGTCAGTTGTTATTCCCACCTTGTTTTTTTTTTTTAACCTAATATGTCATTTTTTCTGTTTGGTATTAAGATTTATTTTTTTATGACCAGTTTTCAACAGTTTGATTTTTTGTGCCTTAATGTAGTCTTTTTGGTGTGTGTGTGTTTATCTTGCTTTGAGATCTTTGAGTTTTTTTGGAATGTGGGTTTATAGTTTGTATCAAATTTGGGTAACATTTGGCCATTACTTCTTTAAATATTTATATGTGCCTTCCCATCTCTTTTTTGGGAGCACCACTTACTACATGTTAGACTGCTTTATATTGTCTCACAGGTCAATGAAAATCTGTTCATTTTTTTTAAACCAATTTTTCTCTCTGTGCTTCATTTTGGGAAGTGCCTATTCCTATTTCTTCAATTTCTTGTTTGTTTGTAAACATTGGGGTTGTTACCTATTCAGAACATACAATGCTGCTCCTGGAACCAAAAGTGTTAACTTGTTAACTCTTTTGTACATAAAGAGGGATACTGATTAATAATGAAAATGTCTTTGCTTTCAGGCAAATACTATAATAGGGAAGTAACTTGTACAAATAGGAAGAACAGTAGAGTTTTTGAAACAATAAAAAATCACTTATTAGTATTAATACATTACTTTATGAATTTATACTACCAGAGAAAACGTAGGACTCTAGGCCTCCATGTGGGTTTTCTAACATTGCTTCATATTTGTTTACCCATAAAGAGTAAGGCTGGGAAATAAGTTTGCTCTTAAATGAGAGAAACTACATCTAGAAACCACATTCTGACTGGTTATATGTATCAGAATTTGTTATATAAATTACTAAAAGAAATGCTGCCTTAAATGTTAAACTCCGGCTACTCTGAGCCCTCAGAGACTCAAGATAACATGGATATCAGGCAAGTACAAGTCTTTACATATAGAGAGTTGATTGTTTCAGCTTATTTTGTTACTCAAGTTTTGTTTGGAAAATCATAGCGTAACCTCTTGTTTAAAATTTCTACTTTTCTATAAAGATAAAGGTTATATTAATAGTTCTATTCAGTACATGCTATGATTATGTTTATATACTTTAGAATGTACTGTTATTTTCTAAATGAAAAAAAGTTACTAAAATTAAATATAGAGAATTAAAAAATGATAGAGTAGGGAAGACCTTTTCAAATAATACATAAAATTGAAAAATCATAAAAGAAAATATTAACAAATTTTAACTACATGAAAAAAATGATTTGTATGTGGCAAAAACAAACAAAAAACCCCACCATAAACTATAATAAGAATACACAAGAGACTAGAAAAATATTTTAAATTCATATAGCTGACAGAAGGCCAATTTCTTATTAATTTATAATATATTACAGGATATTCATTGCAACATTATTTGTAATAGTAAATTTTTGGAAACAAATGTTCCTCATGAGTAGATAGGCTAAATAATGGTATATCCACAAAATAGAAAACTATACAACTGTTAAGAAGAATGAAGTGTGTGTGTGTGTGTGTGTGTGTGTGTATAAAATAGGGTCTCTAGAACAGTCTTGACACATAATCAACAACTAATATGTATTTGTTGATGAATGACTGAATTTTTAAGTGACAAAAGGGACATTTAGCATACTATGTATATAATGCTATCATTTGTGTAAATAAAGGATATATACATATGCACAGAGGATATGGACAATAGACAAAAAAATCGCAAATTAGCAGAAGATTTAGGTGGATGAAAGTTGGAGAGGTAGTAGGCACAAAGACAAGTGTAGGAAATACCTTTTGGTATTGTCTGAATTTTGTAACGTGCATTTTTAAACTTTTTGAATAATTAATAATTAACATAAAAGACTGTGTTTATAGGGATGAAAGTGAACCTGCCCAAATAGAAGATTTAAGTGTTGCTAAACCTGATGGCTGGCTGGACGATGAACCAAAGTTTATTCCAGATCCTAATGCTGAAAAACCTGATGACTGGTAAGCATTCTTCATCTTCAGAGGTCAATTCCACAGGTTTCTTACTTGCTTTTTTGTTATTAGTGTATATGACTGACAGGAGAGACTTGAGGTTATTCTGTTTGCTTTGTTTGATATCCTAAGGAATGAAGACATGGATGGAGAATGGGAGGCACCTCGTATTTCTAATCCAGCATGTCGGATAGGGTGTGGTGAGTGGAAACCTCCCATGATAGATAACCCAAAATACAAGGGAGTATGGAGACCTCCAATGATAGATAATCCTAATTACCAGGTAATAACTACTTGTTCCAATCCCATTGTAGAATCAAAAATGTTATGCTCTTTCTGTTATGTATCTAGTTACTGATAATGTTATATTTACTTTAGAAAATTGACTTGTAATTGTGACTTAGAAATCTTAAGAAGTCAAAGAAGATAGACTCCACCTAATTTATATTTAAAAAGTAAAGCATTTAATTTTCTGGAGAAATAAATTTAAGAACTGGAGATTAGTCACTATATACTATATCTTTCCCTAATAATCAGCTGATGATCACTTTGGAATAAAGTTCTATTTTAGAATTAAATATAAGAAATAAGTTCTGATCAAGAGGACTCACATAGTACATTTTAGTAATTAATGCCTGTGCTTAATTAATGTGCTTACTTTTTGATGTTATTAAAATTTGGATTTTTTCCTAATATGAATCAGATATCTTTTGAGTATACCTAGCTTTTTGTAGAAGTCACTGTTGTCCATTTAACCCCATAGTTTTCTCTTTCTAATCATTTATTGACATTTTCTAACATTTATTATACATATACAGTTACACATTCTAATTGCTCACTGTAGTTTTTCTTCATAGCATTTATCACAAAATGTTTATTTTGGTAAATTTTTTTCTTTAACGTCTGTCTCATTAGACTTTAAAGTCCGAAATACAGGAACCATGTCTGCCCCTGAATCCATAGCATCTGGCTTAGTGCCTGGCACAGAATAGGTATATCTGATGGCAGAGTGAGTCACTGAGTGGCCATACTGTTGAATGTATTATATTTGATTTGATTGAGTTTAATTGTTTCAGATCTAATGGAACTTTTATGTAGAATAATTGTTCTGAGGTTCAGCCATGATTGAGTCATGATGCCTGTCATGGGTGTGTGTTAAAAGGAGTGGCTCCATTGTTGCCATACAGTGACAGTGATTGCTCTGACTTGGGCAATTTTAATGACATCTTGCCTGAATTAACTTTGCTAAATGTAAAAAACTTGTCTAAAATAGTATCATTTGTGAGATCTAATTACTAAGATTCTCTGTGTGTTGGATTTTCACTTTGCCTTTTTTTTTTTTACAGAGTTTAAAGTCAGTATTATTCATAGGAACTTTGTGTACAGAATAAGAAGAAACAAGATTTTATTTTCAGTGAATTACTAGTGACTTGTATCAGTTAAATATCAGTGATGATATAATATCAGTTAAAGTTTTCTTTTTTCTCCAGTTAGTATAGCTAATTTCATTCAACAGCAACTACTTCTTCAGTAACATTTATAATGAAATTATTTTATTTGAAAATGTCTTCAAATAATTTTTCTTCCAGGGAATTTGGAGTCCTCGAAAAATTCCTAATCCAGATTATTTTGAAGATGACCATCCATTTCTTCTGACTTCTTTCCATGCTCTTGGTTTAGAGCTTTGGTCTATGACCTCTGATATCTACTTTGATAATTTTATTATCTGTTCGGAAAAGGAAGTAGCAGATCGCTGGGCTGCCGACGGCTGGGGAGTGAAAATAATGATAGCAAATGCTAATGAGGTAGGTACTGGCCATATAGTAGTAATAGGACTTGGTCCTGATTGTGATATGCACATTGTCCTCTAAAAGGAAAATAAATATGCAATAATTACTACATGCCAAAGAAATGTACTTAAATAATTTTAAGTATGTAGACAGAATATTTAGCTTTATTATATTATGATACTTCACTATAAACTATATAATGAACTATATATGTGTATATGTAAGTCTTCATTGCATTCATTAAATTATGATAGCTTGAATGGAATTTAATGCCTATTTACTGTTTATAGAAGTGAGATTACTTAATATTTATATTTGTAGTCTTTGTCTACAGGTGTTTGTCATCTTGTCAATTCAAAGCCTAAATTTTCAGGTTGATTTTATTAATAAGTCCTTTAAAATACAGAATGAGTTATCAGCGAGTTGTATACTGATAAATGAGCCAGATAATACAATGATAAAGAGTAATTCTATCCTGAAATTACGAAAAAAGAAAATTGTCCTTCTTGCTGGTAGATTAGCAGTTTCCACCTATGTAGTAATATATTTTCCATTACAAAATCTCCAACAGTGATGCATGCTAATAATGAAAAACTTTAAACTTTACAAAGTATAAGATAGGAAAATAAAATGTTTTTTTATAAAACAGGTTCATCACTCTGTAATGTGAAAATGCCGAGGTGAAATAAGGTGTCGTTTGTTTTTTATGGGTTGTATTTCCTCATGAAGGTTTGTAAAATCTGAATTACATTTTCATGCTTATTTTTTCTATAGCCTGGTATATTTAAACAGTTAATAGCAGCTGCTGAAGATCGCCCATGGCTTTGGTTTGTTTATCTTGTGACAGCAGGACTTCCAATGGCATTAATTATTTCATTTTGTTGGCCAAGAAAAGTAAAGGTAAAGAAAATGGATTTCCTTCAATTTAAAAAAAAAAAATCTTTAAGTGTTTAAGAGTTCTATGAATTGAGCAAGTAATTCTTAAAAGTAATAAAACTAAATTTTGTTTAATTTTTTACTGATTGTGTATATCAGTTATTGCAAAAAAACCAAAACAACAAAACACCTTTTTTAAAAATAATGCTTTGCATTTAGTAAAAATAGTTTGTTAAATTACCACAGAAAAAATATGAGGATGCAGATTATAAAAAAACTGACATATGTAAACCACAAACAAAGGGAGCGCTAGAGCAAGAAGTGAAAGAAGAGAAAGCAGCCCTGGAGAAACCAGTGGATTTGGTAGAAGAAAAACAGCAAAGTGATGGTGAAATTCTTGAAAAAGGTAAGACAGTGATAGTGATTTATAATGGGGACCCTGGGCAAAGCTCATAAAAATAGTGGATTGTCTGGTAAGCACTAGCTGTTGCTCTTATTTCACAATTTATACCATGTGAATCCCCAAGAATGCGTGACTTTGGCAAAGCGGAATAGTCGTCCCTGCCTGAACTCAAGCCATCATTCAGTTTTTGTCTTCTAGAAAGAAAAAGATTTAAATATTTGTACAGTTGCTTAAGAGCCTAGCAACTATGAACCCCATATGCTGTAGCTTTTCACAAAGACTTTTCTTGCCTCTGAGAATGCAGATGAGATGGGTGGTGTGTAGACCATGGTCTCTGTACAAGAGTAATAGGTGTAACGCAGATGACTGCAGCAAGAAAATCAATACGCCATCTTCCAATGGCTGTTGCTTATCAGATAGTTTATCATATCAAATAAATAATTTAATCTCCTGAAAGGATTGCTGCATCATATGAACCCTTCCCACCCTATATTAAACTCCTAAAGATGTTAAAACTAAAGAACTGAGGTTTTTTGGTGGCTCTCCATTGAGACCTCTTTATGCACATCAAGGTAGAAATAAAACTATTGATATTTGCAAGTTATCCCAAGCAAGTTCCATATTGAGTCCTTTACAACTTAAATTATGTCTTGAGCACTATTTTCAACTTAATAGTTGATGAAACAGTTGACTTAAAAACCATAATCTCAAAAATACACACACATATATGTTCTTTGGGTTTCATATTACACTCAGACTGAATGCTTAAGAATTTTTTAAACCTTCCCCTTTCCTCAATTATGTTGATTTATTTATAAAATGCAGAAAATAATGAATGTTTTTGTAATTTTTCTAAACTTTTTCTAATGGAAGAAATTGCTTTTACATATTGGAATTTAAATACAACCTTATTATTGTATTTAATACTTTTCAGTAGCAAAATTCTAATTCATCAAGCCTTTGCCTTTAATAAAATCTGTGTTCTAGAAGAAGAAGGTGAGCCTGAAGAAAAGAGTGAAGAAGAAATCGAAGTCATAGAAGGACAGGAAGAAAGTAATAAATCAAATAAGTCTGGATCAGAGGATGAGGTAAGCAACTCTGTAACAGAAAATAAACTAGTTTCTATGTATGATCATTATTTCAGTAAGAGCAGTAATCTGGTCTGTAAAGGATTTTTGCCGTATTTCTCTCTGCTTTCATAAGAGCCTCCATATTGTTTTAAAATGTACTCATGAGGAAGGCAAGAAAATACTATAATTTCTGTAATCTTAATGCCTAATAAAACAGTATAAAGTAAGCCCATGGTTTACAAAAATATAAAGAGAGAGCTGCATCTACAAAAAATTATGACATTACCATTCTATTGGAAGGTATAATAAACAGACCATTTGAATATTTAAAACGTAATCCTGTTTATTACAAGATGATTTTATTTATAGCCAGTGTAACAACAAACTCATTGTTTCAATAATTTATATCCCACATATGAAATGTTTCGCTCATTGGGTAGTTGAGTACTGTCTGCCTGATAACAGTGTTTTTCCTCAAATCTTTAATAAACTAGTTTTCCCATTAACTCGATAGATCTACCGCTTCTTACATCCTGCTATGTAATACAACTTCCCACAATGCCTTCTTTTAGTCAGTTATTATGGAATCAGAAACCATCCAGGGTATAAATCAGAACCAGAACTTTCTTTGTTGTTTATCCAGCATATACCAATCCTGTTTTCTCTACTTCTCTAGCCTTTGAAGAGCTGCACATTTCTTACTCCAAAGTCATCATTCTCATTACTATAAGGTGTGATAAAAAAATAGTGAACGTTTAAATAAATTATTACAGTAAAAGACATTGCCATTAATCCCCATCAAAATGCTCCCCCTTGCTTCTAGCATACTTATCCCATCATTTTTGCCACTTTCTGAAGCAGTTCTGGAAGTCGTCTTTCATGAGTGTCTTTAGTTGCACTGTTGTGGCTGCCTCGATGTCCTGAATCATTTTGACTTTGGGGAAGAGCCAGAAGTCACACAGTGCTAAATCCAGTGAATAAGGTGGATGAGGACACATCATAATATTTTTATTAGACAGAAATTGCTGTACCAGAAGTGACGTATGACATGAAGCCTTTGTGATCACAGAAGATGGTGAATGCTGCTGCCAAGTGCCATCCAACAGAAAGGCATGGATCTTCAGTATGGAAGCAACACATTGAACCTTAGTAACAGTGTGTGACAAGTTTCAGCTTGTTCAGTGCAGTCAGTCAGGTGTGAGCTATGGTTGAGAGGTGTGTTTTAAAGCGTGCCCTAAATCATCCATCATGACAACGTTCCATGTCACACATCACTTCTGCTATGGCAATTTGTCAAATAACATTATGGAGTGTCCTCATCCACCGTATTCACCGGAGCTGGCATCGTGCATCTTCTGGCTCTTCCCCAAATGAAAATGATTCGGGACATTGAGGCAGCTACGACAGCACAACTGAAGACACTCACGAAAGAGGACTTCCAGAACTGCTTCAGAAAGTGGCAAAAATGATGGGATAAGTGTGTTAGAAGCGAGGGGGAGTATTTTCAGGGGGGATTAATGGCAATGTGTCTTTTACTGTAATAAATTTTTTCTAAACATCCACCATATTGTTTGATCACACCTTGTAGTGTTAGTTTGGGTAACAGTAGTTTTGCCTGGCCGATTGTATGTGAGGAAATAAGCTTTCTATTTTGTTTATTTGAAGAAATCTCTCAAATGAACTCGTTTTATTATTTGTTTTCTAAAGCTTATTCAGTGCAATATACCTGGTTACTGGTCTTAACTGCCTTTTGAGTTTTTAAAAGGGTTTGGGGGATCATTATCTAGTATGAATATCCATATTTTGAGGGAGCTGGGTAAAGATAACTTCTTCCAGAATGGCATTTTAAACATTGTTTCAGCTGTCATTCCCTAAATGATAATACTTGCAGTCACTCATTTGAATATATATTCTAGTTACGTTTTGCTTCACAAAATATTTTGTGTACCTTTAAAAATATCTTAATTCCAGCTTTCAGTCTTTTAGTCTACTTATATATGTTTGTCAGTGAGCTAAAATAAACCAATTTTTATATATTGTAGTATACCCTTGAGAAATAATTATAACTCTTGTATAATACCCTCATTATTTTTACATTGTTACACAAGTTTAGTTTATGTGTAAATGCTTATTCTGGAAAGATAAGAATTAAAGGAAAGAAAAAACCCAAACTATAAATTTGATGTTCCCTCTGTTCTCTCCTAATTTTTCTTAAAGTACTATGTGCAGAAATTCTGAAAAAGCCTCTGTAAAACCAGCACAGCAATTCATTATTTACAGAAATATTGTGAATTATTATGCTTAACATCCCACAATGGAAATATCATATAACCTTTAATTAACTATGACATTGAGATAAAGTTCTAAATCATAAAATTGTGAATTGTTAGCAGTATTCCTTGACAGATGCATATTTCATAAGAATTATTCTAAACGTAATCATGCTAAAAGATGAACAAATTAAAACATCAATTTAAATACATAGTTTTGATCAGCTGCATGAAGTAAAGGAACATATAAAAGATAGCATTTGATTGTTAGAACATGTATTTTAGAGAATAAGAAATATATTACTACTTTCTAGTTTACATGGTGTGTGAAAATAAACATTTTCATAATTCTTTTTACTAGATGAAGGAAGCAGATGAGAGCACAGGATCTGGAGATGGGCCAGTAAAGCTACTACGCAAAAGACGAGTGCGGAAGGAGTAAACTATATTTAAGTGTTTTTAATTCCTGAAGAGAATTAAAATTTCTAAAATCAGTGTGCCAGAACTGAACTGGAATCAATCTGCACACCCTGTTTCTAATATCTTAGCAATGTTATTCTTTCAGACATCTATTTTAGCCTTTTCAGGAAAGAAAGAACCTGGAAGTTACCTGATCTTTGAATATGGAAGAAAAGGAAAGTGGCACATTACATGTCAGATTTAAGAGATTAATATCATTAGAAGTTACAGTTTTAATAGTTTGGAGAAAGTTTTGGTTTTGTACAGAGCAAAATAATATGCAGCAGCTTCCCTGCTATTGGCAACATCAGTTATTGGAATTTCCTCTTAAACAGCTCAACTACAATATAACTGGTAGTTCTACAATAAGTGTCTGTTGTACAGAGCTAAATGCAATAAAGCTTCTGTATGGTTGTTTAATTGTATCAACAATTGAAAGTGTTGTATATGACCCACATTTACCTAGTTTGTGTCAAATTATTGTTATGGCCGGCTCACTTAAATTACAGATTCCTTTAAAGAGGTGCTTTTTGACAGACAAGTCAACACAACAGAAATGCCTATGAGGTCATTCATAGAATCACTGGTTACTAGTGCAGCATATTTTACATTTGAATAAAAATAGGTGTATCAAAACAAGATTTTTTTCAAGCTTTTATAGTTGTTTTTATGCCAGAATGGTTTACCTTACTCATAATATTGCTTATGTATACGTTGCTCTTGAAAATATAATTTAAATATTTTTAATTTATACTCTTTAATAAGTAAATTATTGTTGGGGGGGGGCTTTAAACTATTTTATTTGATCACTAAGAGATTCTAATGGATGATAGATATCATCATGCTTTGTATTTTTGTCTTGTTTTTTTCCTGACAAATTGAAATCTATTTTAAGTCTATTCTCCCATGTAGCTCCAAAGCTGTCTCTAAGGTAGATAGCAGCAACTATTACGATTGCACCTCTTTTTAAAGTACAGTAGTTACCAAAAATCACAGGACATTATAATGGAGCTGTGGTGTTCCATTTAAAATATTTTACGTTTTTATGTTTGGATAACACATTAGACCCTTTGCAAAGTGATCTAAATCTTTAAGACCACAAAACTAATACTATCTAGAGCACTTGATACTAGTTGGGTAATATTTTGGATTCCGTCATGAATATATACACCCCATCTTTGGGCAAGCACCAAGTTCCCATACAGCCTCCTCCCCAATAGTACACGTAGAGTGTATGTATGAGGAAAATAGCCTTGAGTGTCTCCTTTTACCAAAGGAAGCCAAACATAGCCAGTAATACTGTGCACTCCTTAGTTCAGAGTGAATTGAAAACGAAAATAGGTTCTTTATTCCATTGAAGTGTTGTTCTGAACTTTCATACATTGGTGGTGGCAATCTTAATACAAGTTAACCATCTTTGTATTTATTTACTACTAACTGAACCTAACACATCTTGCAAGGACTCCCTTTCTTGCTTTGTATTTGGGATGTCTAAGTGAACTAGACATATTGAATTATTCTAGATGAGAATGTTTCTGAAAGTAAACTTCAGGAGTAAGTCATTTAATTTTATAGAAACCTTGCCTGACAGGTAGCTTGTATGTGAACATTTTTCTAAAGATTTATTAAAGCTATTTTTACTTTCTTGGTTGCAGATTCATTTTAACTTTAATGTTTGGTTAAACTCCAAGAGCTTGCAGTGGTAAAATCTGAGCAACCAGTTTTGCCAGCTTCCTGTTACTTCCTGTGGATGTGCCCTCTGTGGCTGTACCCTGGCTGACAGGTTTAACCAACACTTAAACTCATGTGTGTGAGATCCATGCAGTAGACAAAACATCATCTTCCTTAATAACAAGATGGCTTTTTCCTTTTACCACCCTAATCTGACTTTATTTTTTTTAATGACTGACATTTTCTCCTTTAATAAAGGAGAAAAATAAATGTATTTTGCTTTTTTAGTTGGCCTGTTCAGACTTTTTTAACTTGACCAGGCTATAAGGTAGCTTTTTTTCTTGAATATTTGTTTTTAAGATAGCTTTGCTTCCATTGGTTATTTCTCTAGGAAGACAGATATTACTAGAACTAGTAGCCTTTTGAAAACTTTGCAACTGTGCCTCATATACTTTTTCTGCAAATTAGAATGGTGATAATTAGTGTGACTTGGAAGCCATGGTTGAAAATACCATCTTCAAGTTTCTGAATGATTATGTGGGACAAAGTCTGCTACTTTGCAGTGCTTACCTCAACCATTAGCTGGGAAAGAAACTTCTATTATTATTTCATATCATTTATCACATCTCTTGTTAGGAGAGATTAGCCTAACCTAAAAAATACAACCACCCTGCCAATCTTGGATCCTTCTTTAATTCCTTGCTTTTTTAAAAAAATTAATGTATAATATCCTGTAACATTTGTTTTAATAAAAACATTATTCCCCTAAAATCCAGTAACTGGTACTTAAATAAGTTATGCTATTTATCCTGTGGCTTTGAACAACCCTGGATATACCACTACACTACTATATACCCGTTATTACTTAGGCAACTATTAATATATCACGACACACAGTCTCTGAAACAGCTTTTTATTAAACAGCAAAGCAAAATTGCAACACAATTTTAAATGTTTGTAAATTAGGTAACAAAAAGAATACAAAACGTTTTGCAGTATGACTATTATATACTCATACAGCTAAAGTCATTCATTGAATCGTACACCAATACAAACATATTCCATGATTAAAAGTAGGCCAAATCTAATAACTATAAGCTATATTAGTGACTCTCTTTTCCTATTTAACATTTTAACATTATTCCTGGTATTAATTTCCTTAGCAAATGGAGTCTACAAACTACATTTTTAAAAACTGTTGAAGAATGACTAAAACTCTGCAAACCAAGTAGTTAAGTTAGGTTTATAGAAAATTGTGGGAGAAGTAATGAGATAAAATACTGAGAATATTATCAATTAGTATACATGTAAAACTCTCCCATTTTACTCATGATTCTGATACTAATACACAAGGGATTTTGCAAAAATTGATCTGCTGGGTACTATAAATATACTTTGTAGTATATTTATATACTTGGAGACCAAAGTCTTTGTAACTCTTCTCTTCTAGATGTGGTTTATGTAAGGTTAATCAAACTTAATCCACTTTCATATATATTTCCCAAAGATCAATTCTGTGCCAGAGATAACAGATCTGGAGTAGAAACATCTGGAGTTGGTTACTAGTGTTTACCAAGTACTTTTTATATCCTACTTCTATTTTTCCTCAAAATTTTCTGTCAAACATCCACAAGACCAGAGGTCATCTTTTCAGATACCAAATTACTTTGTGTAAAAGGAAGTTTTCAACAAATTTTCCCAATTTGACAATTCAGTTTCAAGGAAAAAGTCTTCATTTTTATAGCCTCTATTTTTAATTGATTCAAGAGAAACCAACAACCCTATCTTATTACTAAATACAGTTATGCACTGCTTAATGACGGGGATATGTTCTGAGAAAGGTGTCGTTAGGCAATTTTGTTGTGCAAACATCACAGAGTGCACGTTCACAAACATAGATGGTATAGCCCACTACACACCTAGGCTATATGGTCTACCACCCATCGTATCTGCAGTCATTCGTTAACTGAAACGTCGCTATGTGGATGCATGACTGTATAGCAAATAATGCGCTCTAAACTGAGAACGTATCTTATTTTGGTTAAGTTTAAATAATTACAGTTCAGGTTACTCTCACAGATGATTAACTATTGAAATTGCTTTTACAAATGTGAAACCAAATTTTACTTCAGGGGAGGGGAAATGGGAAAGAAGAAGCAAATGGAGAAGAGGCACAAGATGGTAAACAAGACACAGACAGCTGTGCATTCAGTACATGATTTTGGTCACTTTTTCACAACATGGTGGTTATTTTCTTGTATCTCCTACTATGACTATAATAAAAGACAGTGCTAAACCTATAAATCAAAGCAAATTTGATAAAACATTATCAAGTTTCATAAATATATGCATTTCTAATTATATATAAAGTCTCTACAATACATTTTCACATTTTTATAGGCTAACATCATACACAAACTCATGGAACTCTTCTGTTATGCTCTTAATTTTGCCTAGATCTGACATTATCTTCATAAATATTCAATGAAGCCACAAACAAAAGTACTACTGGAATCTATCCAAGTTTTAAAGAAAAGAGATCAGCAGCAATTCCATACGACAGGAGGGATATCAATCCCTTACTTTCTTTTGCTTTTTGTGTCAGTTGTTTGAAAAACACTAGAAGCTGACATGAGGTTTTCTATATATTGTCCAAGAACTTGGTTTTCTGATTTTAACTTGAGATTTTCTTCCTTAACTGCATCTACTCTTGCAGAGAGATCTAATTTAAAATAAAAAAGCCCATTATCAATACAATGATGGCAATAGTTCCATAATATAAAATACTTAAGGTTTACTAAGAGAGAACAATCCTTAATTTTTCTATTTTTAAATTTAGATTACTTTAGAAGTTAAGGTAAACAAGGTAAAATAGCCAAAATTCCTAAAAAGAGATTTCATATTAGGCTAAATGTTATTCTTTGTGAACAGCACTTATATTGACTAGTTAATTTTTAATGGTTATTTAAGAAAATATGGACTTTGTTTTTAAAATGTAAATTTAAATTCATGTCTTATCAACATAAAACATAATGTCTTCACTATAAATATTTAAGAAAATGTGGTTGGTGATCACAACTGAGTCCACATACTGGATACAGAAAGTCAGTTTCTAAGCAATTGGACGTTTTGTATTTTTACATTAGCAAGAAATTCAAAAGATGCAGTTCTTGATCAAATGAAACATTACCTCTACTCATTCATTTAACAACTATGTATTAGATGCCCTCTAGAGCCAGGCACTATTCTAGAGGCAACAGTAACAAAAAAGAAAGGTCCCTGCCTCCACTGAAGTTACGTTCTAAGGTGCATGTGGGCACATGTGCATTTAGGAGGCTCCAAGTGGGGCTCAGGAGAAAAAGTAAAAAGGGTGACGGTCATAGGAAGCAAAAGGAAAGTTGCCCTTTTATATAGTCAGCGATGGCTATTTTGATAAAGGGACTTTGACAAGAAACCTAAAGGAAGTGAGGGAAAGAGCATACACATATGCAAATAACTAAGGGAAAAAGAAGCACAGGGAAAGACCAGCTGCTCAGACCCTGAGCAGAAGCATGTGAAAGAACCAACAGTAAGAGGGTCAGAGTATCTGAGGTAGAATGTATGAGGCCGAGGTGTGGCTCTGAAAGGTAAAAGGGAGTAGATTTCCAGACAGTAACCTGGCTTTTATTAATTGTGAAATGGGAAGCCACTGGAGTGACATCTGCTCCTTCTAGTTTAAAAATAACAAAAAACACCACTTAATTTCATTAAAAACCAAAAGTGTTTCAGTGTTAGTATTAATTTTCTACAAGACATTTAGACAATGAAAAATCTCAGATCAATTCCCTTTAAATCTCTGAGACTAATAACATTGTTTTTGGTTTAAGTAGACATTAACACAACGCGGGGACTTAAAAGGGGCTCTCATGTACTAAATAGCATTATGTTAGACCTTAAAGAGGGAAGCTTAAGAAACTATTTGACTCTTATTGCAGCATATCTATTCTTTAAAATCGCCAGCCAAAGCTACACACAGGAGGGGGGGAAAGCTATTGAAATGGACTTGAAATTTATACTTTTTAAAATTGTGTACACTAACAATTTTTAGCAACACAAAGGATTACAATTTCAATGGATGTTATTCAAGAAAACTACAAAATGCAAGCTAACCTTCAAGTGTGTGTTGGAGTTCCAACACTTGATTAATAAGTCGTGTTTTTTCCTCCAGTTCCACCTGATTTTCAGCATCAACTGCTGTAATAAAAAGGTTCAAATTTACTATTAATTAACATTAGATACCATTAGTGTAGTGTAGCACTTAAAGATCTGCAAAATGTTTTATATTCATTATCTTACTTGACTTATACAAGAGCCCTGTGAAGTAAAAAGTTCTATCCCCATATTGCAGATAAGGACACCAAGGTGAAGATAAAGTGTTTTGCCAACATCTCACAGACAAGGAACAGAAGCTGCCTTAAATCCTTTCCAGAACTAGAATGGATATAAATAAGTAATTAGCCAAACCCCAGCCTCTAAATAGTCTCCTCTGTTCTTTTCCATTACATAATAAAGCAAAAGCATCTCCAAATCAAGGAACATACAACAAAGGAAAATAAAGAACATACCATCCATGTCAGCGTTCATCATCTTGGATAACAAACTTTTGTGCCTTCGATACAAAATCCTTGATGACTGATCTGCAATAAGAAAAAGTTAGAAACACAGACACACACAACAATAAAATATAAGCTTGGTTTTCAAAAGAAAATTATATGGCCCAGTAGGACCCTTTCACATACTTTACTGTTTCTAAGGAGAAACACCCAATGGGTAAATAAGCAAAGGATATGTACAAATAGTTTACAAAGAGACATTTTAAGTGAACAAGAAAAAATGCTAATTTTTTTGGTAATCAAAGAAATACATAATAAAATACCACTGCACGTTTATTTTTTTAGATCAATAGAAAGTTATGGAAAACTAATGTCATTATGTATTAATATACTAAATGCTTTACATATGTTGTTAGTTCATCAGATCAACAGAAGGACATTGCAATTTACAGATGTGGACACATCTCAGAAAGGCCATGTATCTTGCCTTAGATTTCACAGCCAATGTCTGTACCAAAAATTTTAACTTAGGTCTAACTGTCAAGTCCTTTTTCCACTATGCAATGGAAGATACTTTAATATGGCCCTCATTTAAGCCTGCCAAACATTTTGCAACTCTTGATGTCAAATGTCTTTGCTATTTCTACTAACTAAGCCACTGATGATAAATTTCATTCCCTTGAAGTTGCATCAGCTGTTCGCATCCGTTCAAATTCTGACTTCTGGTTACATAAATGTACAAATTAAGGAATTGTTGAGCCAGACAAGGATCCGAACAGGAGTTGGGCAACAGCTAGTTATATGGAGCTTATTCAGTGAGAACCGGCACAGAATATACAGGCATAGCTTGGATCCCAGGCGCAGACACGGTGCTGCGAACAGAGCATTGCATGTCTTTAATACTGTTACGTCATAGCACTGGGATCAAACGTTGTACAACAAAAGCCCTGCGTTTCAGGAATAGATCCTCTTTTTCCTTTCCATTCCTAACTCCCCAAAACTTGTTCAGCAGGACCCCTGAGAGAAGCCCCTGAAGAAACCAACCCCGGAGCTGGTCTAAGCGCCTGGAAAGATGTCGCCAGCCCTTCCTTCACCGCGCACTCGCCACCCTCCGCGCCTCGGCGTCCTTTCCCCCCACCTCCCGGTGCACCAGGTCCCATCGCACCCAAACACCTCTCCCGCAGCCCCATTTCAGGGCGAGGGCGAGGGAGCGAGGCTGGGCCGGACAGCAGCCTTCCACTCAGGAGCGGGGGGGCGAAGGCGGCAGATGTCGCCGTCAGGAACGGCGGGCCGCTCCACCCCAAAGGAATCTCTGGGCCCAAAAAGGAGAAGATGAGGAAAAGGTTGCGCAGGGTTCTGCAGGGAGCCAGGCCGCAGACGCCAAGCCCGAGGATGCTCTTCCCGGGCCCCCGGGGCCCGAAGCCGCGCGTCCAGCCCGCCCCGCCCCCCAGGCTCTCGGCGGTCCCGACGCGGCGATTCCAGTCGCCCGGGAACAGGCCGTCCGCTGCCTACGACGACCCTCACCTGCAGATGGAGACGCCGGGAGGAGGAAGGGTAGGGAGGAAGCCTCACGCCCGAACACTCGCCCCAACTGACATGGGCAGCCCCTCCCTCCCCGCCCACAGAGCGTGCGCCCGGACGGGAGTCCCGCCTCGGCCTGCCCCATCGCCCGCCAATCCCCACTCAAGAAGGCACGCCTGCGCATTAGCCGCCCAACGCCCCAATCATCCTTTCTCAAAGCTCCGGGATCCACCTTTTGCCACAAAAGGACATTGGCATCCAATCAGGATTGAGGTAGTTGTGGGCGGGTCCAGAAAGAGCAACAGCCAATGACATCACAGAAGCGAAGTTAAGGATGAGCAAGTCGAAGCTAGGTGTCCCCTCAGACTCGCTCAGCAGGAGCCTGAAAATTGGGGTCAGAAATCCAGTATGGAAAATTTTGACCGCTGTCAGAAGGAAGGTTGGTAAAAACAAACACTGGGTGAGAGACAAATCATTGAAATTTAAGAAAAGGGCATTTGTGGCTGTAACAGATAAAGAAAACCAATGCAATACCGTGGTTCCTCAATTGTAAAAGCAGACGTGTTCATGTATATATATATTTTTTTATTTCTCAAGTTGGAAAGTTCATAAGTATACCTCTAGTGGATAAGTGAATTGTTCCTCTCTGCATCCTCCTCAGACTATTATAAAATATATAATGCACCCGACTACTTAATATTATTTTAGAGTTGAGAAAATGCCTTGGTAGTACTTTGGTATTTAGCGCTTTCTCTCACCTAATTCTATGTTCATCTTCACAGCAACCCACAGAAAGAAACTGAAGCTTAAGAGTAAACAAATGTCTTGCTCAAGGTCATACACGCAGTGTGAAATGCTTTTATGTGCCAGGCTTTAGGATGTAATGTAATCTGGCTTGATACCATTCATAGATATCTAGCACGTGACATACACCAGATCCTGCTTGTTTCTAATATATGTTGAGTACAAGGTTGTACTACCTCACTGTTTTGGCGTTGGCACACTCTTCTCAATTGTAGAGGTGAGCCTTGACTTTTTACTTCTGGCACAGTTTGCTGACATGTGGCCTTAATCCTTCTAAGGACTATATAAAAAAAATCTATGTAAAAAAAAGTGTACATTTCGGTAGCGTTCAGTCTATTCACATTGTTCTTCAACCAATCGCCAGCATTCTTTTCATCTTGCAAAAACATAAACCCTATACCCATTAAACAACAATTCCCCATTTAGCTCTCCCTCCAGCACCTGGCAACCACCATTCTTTTTTGTCTCTATGAATATGACTGTTTTAGGCTTCTCATGTAAGTGAAATCATACAGTACTTGTCTCTTTGTGACTCACTTATTTCACTTAGCATAACATCCTCAAGGTTCATCCGTGTTGTAGCATGTGTCAGAATTTCCTTCCTTTTTAGACCTGAACAATATTCCATTGTATGTATGTATGTACGATATTTTGTTTATTCATTTGTTCAGCAGTGCACACTTGGGTTGCTTCCACCTTTTAACTGTTATAAATGCTGTTATTAACATGGTGTGTGCAAATATCTCTTTGAGAGCCTGCGTTCAGTTCTTTGGGGTATAAGAAGTGTAATTATTGGATCATATGGTAATTATTTTAAAAGCAATTTTTAAAAATGTGGCATTGACACAAGGATAGACAAAAAGAAAATTAAGAGAGTCCCTGTACTTGGAAGTTGTATAAAATAAAGGTGTCTGATAAGAAACAGATGTTGGTGAGGCTGAGGGAAAGACCTTTACTGTTGGGAGTGTAAATGGTACAATAACTTTGTTAATTGGTTATGAAAAAGAAACATTATGGTGGTTCTAGTTAAATTGGCTATTGATATAAAAAATATGAAATTACATCCAGCCACACCACAAATAAAACTAAATTCCAAGTAAAGTAAATGTGAAATGTGAAAACAAAACTCTAAACTTTTAGAAAACAGTTATCTTTATGACATCGCCATACAGAAGAATTTTTTAAACCAGACTAAACAGTGCTATTCCTTAAGGAAAAGATGTTAAATTTTTATTGTTTTATAATCAGATGAGCTAAAAGTTTTGAAAACAGAAGACATTTTTAATCAAGTTAAAAACAAACCACAAGCTGGGAGAATATAGTAAAGCTCTGAAAATATACAGAATTCTGATACTTTGAGATAAAAATAAAATTCAAAAAACAAATAGGCAGGAGAGAAAAACTGAATGGCCAGACACATTTTTATTAATGTTCACCTTCACTAGTAATCAGGGAAATTCATATTAAAACAAAATTAAAAGGTCCGTCATTAAGAAGATACAAAATTCTAATTAAAAAAACCTGATAGAACTGAAATAAGAAATTAACCCACAGAAGTTGGAGAGTTCATCACCCCCTTCTCTGTAATTTGTAAAACAAATATACATAAAATCAGTAAGGATACCAGAACACAGGTCCCACGCTTGGCTGCACATTAGAATCGCCTGATAATCTCTTAATTCCAAAGAACAGGCTACCCCTTAGACTTATTAAATCACAATCTTTAGGGTTGGGCTACAGGTGTTAATATTTTTGGAAGATATGAAGGTCATTTCAACAGAGTGCAGGCAAATTTGGGAACTATTGATAAAAAAGACCTGAACAATCTCATCAACCAATTTGTCCTAATTGACATTTATAAAACATTTCATCCATTAACTAGAGAACACACCTTCTTTTCAGATGCACAGGAAATATTCAACAAAAGGGACCATATTCTGTACCATAAAACAGACCTCAACAAATTTAAAATGGCTAAAGTCATAGAAAATATTTTATCTGCCCACAAAGGTATTAAATTAGACATCAATAACAGATATTTGTGAAAAAATTGGAAACTAAACTATGCACATATCAACAAACTACGGGTCACAGGGGAAGTCATAGGAGAAATTAGAAAATATTTTGTTTGTTTGTTTTTGTTTTTTAGCAGAGCCATCCTGCCAGTTGTTGGCAGCTCAGTGGCAGCTTAGCTCGGGCCGGGAATCGAACCACTGACTGTTACTCAGAGTCTCACTCTTGAGAGAGCTCTTAACCAACTGAGTCACTCAGCTGGCCCGAAAATATTTTTAAATTAAAATCTAAACATGTCAAAATTTGTGGGATGCAACTAAAGCAGTGCTTAGAGAATTTTTTTAACCTTAAAATGCTTATATGAGAAAACAAGGAAGGTTTCAAATCAAGAGTCTAAGTGTTCACTTTAAAAATTTAGAAAAAGAAGAGTAAATTAAACTCAAAGCAAACAGAGGGAAGGAAATAATATAGAGCAAAACCCAATCACATTGAAAAACTATAAAATAGAAAACAATGAAACCAAAAAGTGACGGTTTTAAAAGAGGGTCAAATTAAAAACTCTAGGCAGACTTATCTAGGAAAAAATGGGAGAAGACACATAAATTACAGACAGCAAGAATGATCTATCACTATAGATCCTATAATCATTAAAAGGCTAATAAGGGACTATTATGAACAACCTTATGCCAATAAATTTGATAATTTAGATGAAATGGACAAATCCCTTGAAAGAAAAAACTACAAAAGCTCACTCCAGAATACTAGATGATATGAATACCTCTGTATCTATATTTTTAAATGTCATTGTTAGATTAACCTTCCCACAAACAATACTCCAGATCCCAATGAATTCACTGGTAAATTCTTCCAAATATTTTGAGAAATTATATCAATTCTATACAAACTCTTCCAGAAAATACAATACAAAAGAACACTTTCCAACTCATTTTATGAGAACAGCATTACCCTTATCCAAAAATTAGACAAAGATATTAGAAGACATAAAATTGAACATAAACCCAAAAGTCCTTAACAAATTATTAGGATACAATATAATATAAAACGTTCCCCTCAACAGAGAGCCTGGACAATTGTGGTTCTGGTCCCACAAGTTTCACTTCTCTTAGTAATTATGGTCTAAAGCTGATTTTAAAATGCATATGGAAAAACAAATGACCTAGAATAACCAAAACAATTTCGTAAAAGAACCACAAAGTTAGAGGACTTATACTACATTATTTCAAGTTGTATTATAAAACTAAAGCAATAAAAGAAATGGAGTATCATTATAAAGATAGACACACAAATAAGTGAAACAATAGAATCTAGGAATAAACCCACACATATTATGATCAATTGACAATGGTACCAAGGTAATTCTATGAGGAAGGGGCTGGAAATCAGGAACATGAAACTCAACACCTACCTTATTGCATACACACAAAAAATTAATTACTAATGGATAATAGACTGAAACATAAAAGCTAAAACTATAAATCTTCTAGAAAAAGACAGAGAAGAAAATTTCTGTCCTCTTGGAGTTGGCAAAATTTTTTGAGAAAGGTCACAAAAAACAATAACTATAAAAGAAAAACTGATTAATTGAACTTTATAAAAATTAAAAATTTCTGCTCTTTGAAAGAAACCATTGAGAAAATGAAAATATAATCTATAGACTAGGGTAAAATAGTCACATATATCATCTGATAAAGGACTTGAATTAAGAATACCTAAGAACTCTTTCAGTCAGTAATAGAAAAACATCCGAGTAAAATAACAAAATACTCGTCAGCAATAAATAGGAACAAACTGCTGATGTGGGTGAATCTGAATTATGCTGAGTGAAAATAGCCAGACAGAAAATATATACATGTATGATTTTATTAATATAAAGTTATAGAACAAACCAAACTTATCTATTGTGATGGAAGTTGGGTCAGTGGTTGCCTGGGGTTCGAGACAAGTGGAGGATTGACTGCAAAGGGGTATGAGGGAACTTTCTAGTGTAATGGAAATGTTCTATAATAGCTTAATTGAAGTGGTAGTTATACAGTGTATACAATTGTCAAAAGTCATCTCCTGTAACTTAAAATGTATGTATTGGATTATATATTATTTTTCCTCAATCAAATTGATTTTTTTAAAATTGGGGAACAGTGTGTTTTTCTGGGACCCATCAGCTCCAAGTCAAGTAGTTATTTCAATCTAGTTGTGGAGGGCACAGCTCAGTGGCCCATGCAGTGATTGAATGGGCAACCTTGGTGTTATGAGCACTGTGCTGTAACCACCTGAGCTAATCAGCTGCCCCAAAGCTGATTTTTTTTTTAATGAGAAGAAGATTATCCAGGATTTCTTTAGAGTTTGAAATATGCTAGGTATGTTATATGTGTTATTTTATTCAGTCATCAAACAATCCAATGATCTAGATATTAAACCCATTTTACAGATGAGGAAGTCAAAGTTCAAAGAGTGTCTTGTCCAATATCATGTAACTAGTGATAGGCTGAATTGAACCATATCTTTGTATTTGTAAAACAAATACAAAAGTAGGTATCATAATACCTACTTTACTGAATTGTTATTAGGATTGTTAGAATTAAGTAAAAATAAAGGACTGCAAAGACTCTCCAAATGGAAATGACTTTGGAACCACAGCCCAAAGAAGGTGGGTTGGAACTTGAAGCCTCAACCTTACCAATTCAAGTTTCTACTAAAACAAAAATATCAACATTCTCCATAGGATTTAAACAAGACCCAGGGCTCATAGTGTAATAGTCAAAATGTCTAGGATCGAATCCACAATTATTCAGTTTCTGAAGAACCATGAAAAATCTCAATTCACATGAGAATAACAGTCAACAGATACCAACACTAAGATGGCACAAATGTTGAAATTATCTGGAAAAGATTTTTAAGCAGCTCTTAAAAAGTACTTGAATAAGCAATCACAAAAAAATCCTGAAACTGAAGCTTCAATTGAAAGTATAAGCAACATCATAGAAGCTATAAATAAAACCAAATATAAATATATTATAAATTATATTATGTTACAAATATAAAATTATTATAAAAATTATATATTATAAATTATATAAATATAAAATATTATATTATAAATATAAAAATACAAATATAATCAGATATAAAATTTTATCTGAAAAATTAAATAATTGAAATGAAAAACTGTCTGAAAAGACTCAATGGCAGGATGCAGATGAAAGAGGAAAGAACAAACTTGAGGATACCTTGGTAGAAATCATCCAGTCTGAACAACGGGGTGAAAAAATGATTGAGAAAAAAACAACCACCCCAAAACCTCAGGAATGAGAGAGAACAAAAAGATGTAGCACTGTGTCATCAGAATCCCAGAAGGAAAGGTTGTATGGTACTGCTATACATTGGAAGAAATAATGGCTTTCCAAGTTTGGGGAAAGAGAATGTCATAGGGGAGGGAATGGTAAGGAAAATCATGTCTAAAAGGCTCTGGGAAGGAGGTATAATGAAAAAGACTTTTTGAGAAACACTGATCTAAACATTGAGCACCAACATCACTAACATCCCAAAGGGAACCTACCAGACTGTGTTTGTTTTCTGATGGAAGAAGAATGCACCGCCACCTTTGAAATAGTCTTGCCAAAAAAAATAAATAAAGGCAAGAAAAAAAATTGCAACATGACCTTACCGAGGCCTAAAAGCAATTTAACATAAAATACAGAGGACAGAAATATATGTTAAATCTACCTCCTGGATAAAATTAGCAGAATCTGGCTATGGAACAAAACAACAACAACAAAACAAAACAAAACAAAAAAACAAAGCCCCTTTCTTTAACAAAAAGAAAATAATTTGCACTAGGGGGAAAAAAGAATGGAAAGAAAAACAGACAAAATTCCTATGGCTTGTTTTGGATGCAGCCTTGGATGATAAAACCATCTAAAAGACGGAAGAAAATCATTGCCATAAAGCAGAATACGGTTATTTCAGAGCATTCTGGGGTTTTTTAAAATCCCAGAACCAAACATGTAGCTTGCTAGATAATTTAAACTTTGAAGGAAGCCTAAGACAAATTGTCCAAAAAAAGATAACATACAAAATGATAATCTTCTTAGAGAGCAATATAACATTCACAAAATGTTGCGAATTGGATAAAACAGTTGCTAAAACAGTTGCTGATAATTAAGATGTGCCCTTGAAAAGAAAAAAAAAATCACTGAAATAACAAAAATGTGACAAAAAAATAAGTACACACAAGTGAATATAAAAAGGAGTTGAAATTTTGGCAAACTAGTCATGAAGTGGACATTTTTTAAACTATATATTTACTTTACACAGCATTCCATATTTGCATTATATTTTTTATTAAAAAAATGGTTTAAAAATAGCCACAAGTTTTCTTCTTCTAAATAAGGAAAGCATGCAAGTACAAATAGAAATCACTGAAATTGCATAGAAACATTTGAATATAAAATGAACATTCATGTGACCTGGAATATCATATATTAATATCATAAACCATCTTAATAAGAGCATAAAATTAAAATATTCTTCATAGAGAATGGGGTACTCCAAATTGAAAACTGTTGTTACAAGGCAATTAATTATGTGAGAAAGAAATGATAAATAATAAAATAGAGAACCTCTTAAGATCATTTTGATCCAGTCTGACATACTCTCATTATGCACATAAAAACTTCTAACTTAACTAATTGGAGGGTTCTAAACATACCGTGGATATTTTAAAGTGAAATATGCTAAATGGAGGCATTTTGATAACTTTCAAGTGTAACCAGGTGTGTTCCCTGATACTTTAAGCTCATTGATTTGCAAAATGTGTTTCATCTCATGCCTAAATAAGAACTCACATTTTCCTTTTTACTATTTTTTTTCCCTTGAAAAGTTACTGAATTCATTGGAGAATGAGTGTTTCCTGAATTTGGTGAGTAAAGAATATATTCTACTTTCTGAAACTTGGTTTCAAAACTATACTTAATAGTATACCATACTGCTAGTTGGTAAAACAAGTTGTTCATGTATACTTTTCTCAAGAGTATAATTTCCTGATAATAACTGATAGTTGGCTAATTTGATGAGTCATTTTCTTTCATTTGTTCAATAGAAACAAAGAGTTTCTCAAATGAGATTTAGAAGGACATTGGGTCTCCTTGGAATCAAGCTTTGAACTTTATGCCATAAAATAATTAGGAATGATTATGCAGTCTTGATGCTATTTTTCCTCTAGACAAATTCTTGTCTAATCAGTGTTTCCCTAAGATTGGTTCTTATGCCCCTGGTTGTACAAGATGAGCTTTTAAAAATAGTTACATATATTATAATTGAATAATATGAATAATACAAGCAACCGTCAATTTGCAGCTGTTGTTGTCTAGTACAGGGCCAAGTTCAAATACGATGTTAGTCAAATGGTTAATTTAATGTGTCCTAAACTGTGATGTTGGTATGCAAACGACTGGTCTGGAAAACCCTGATCTATCAAAAGTGCAACAAGCATTGGTTTGAAGAAGAGGAAGCCTGGCTTCCGGTTCTGGTTCAACCAATTGAATATTTGTTCATTCAATTCTTCGTGTATTTACTAGTTAGAAAATTTATGTTAGTGCTTGTTAGGAACTATAGATACTGTAGCATATCCAGATATTTGAAATTGACAAGGAGCCTGTGGGGGATGTCACTTTATTATAGACCCTGTTTCCTCACATGACAGATTACAAGAGTTAATTCTGCTTTTCTGATATTGTATAAAATAACATTGAGGAACTCATCAGATAACACTGCCAGTGAGTTATAGTGGATGGCTCCCCATATTTAAGAGTGAACCTTTGATGGTTTGTTTGTGCCTGACCATTGTACCCTTAGCAACGTACCTGCCATAGGTTCTGAAAGCTTTCCTGATTTCTTAGAGCCACTCTGTTCTAGTTTTCTATGATTTGAAGTTTCTGTGATCCTCTGTACATGAACCTACCGTTATCAATCATTTCAGCTGGGTACATGTTCCACTAAATTATTATAAAACAATCTGCTTTAAAATCAAGACTAATCATTGGGCTCTGGAAGCATAAAGGGGATTCTGTTTTAATAAGACAGAGTGCTTCTTTGAAGGGCATAGGTGTCAGAGTTACAGTGATAACTAGTATTTTATAAAAGAATGCATGAGTTGCTAGCAAGGCTCTAAAATGCTAGGCTGCTAATGGATTTTCTTACTTTCAATATACAGGCATAATCCTCATAGTTTCCTGTTTCCTTGGTAACTGTTTACACTAAAAATAATCAACTTGGGAGAGCTTTGTCAGGCTGTGTCAGGATCTGAGATTTTGCATTACTTAACTAACAAGTTAGTCTGCTATGAGTTCATGGTTGCCAGAAGAGGACATGAAGCTCCTGGTCAGTCGAAGGACTCGATTACTCACTGTTTACCAGCAACATTACTTTATGTGGGTTTGCTGTTGTCCCCCAAGTCACACGGTGGAGAGCCAGCCGCCCCAGATAGGTGCCTGCACATGCAGGGGGTTATGGTACTGGAGAGGAACGCTGAGCTCAGGGAAACTCGCTTTTACAGCAAGTGGAAGCAAGCTCTGGCTTCAGCCAGGGGGAGGCAAGACCTCCTCCTTTGGAGTGGCTCTCTGCAAACACACCCTCAGAAATGTCCGAGGTAAGGGCCAGGCAGGGCCTTGAGCTCATGGCGTAACAGCAAAAACGTCCAGTGACACTCAGGGCTCATGGTGGACTGCCTCTCCCCCAGACCTCTCACTTGAATAATCTTTAGTTCTGTGACGAATTCCTATTTTTCTTCCTCTTTTCTTATACAATTATTTCAAGGGAAAGATTACAAAATGTCTCATAAAGTGTTGGTGGGATACCTATAAGTAAAAAGGAAGAGAACTACAGTAACTGGTAATGGAAAAAGCATCAGAAGTCAATAGCACAATAATAATAGTGTTTTTAAAATAAATCAAGTCATATTTTGTAGCTCTCCCCCAACCCTTTCTTTTTCACTATTTCACCAAACTTTGCAAAGATCAGAAAGAAGGACATACCAGTTTGTGATTTGTTTTAAAACAAATGGCTACAATTAATTGTTGCCAAGATAGTTGGAAACCCTCATCCCAGCAAAAGCAGATAAAGGCTTCCCCAGCTTGAAGCAGACTTGGCTGGGTTCCTCTTCTTCTTCTCTAGTGATACCAGAAAACGAAATGAAAGCCTTGCTGCTCAGAGGGAGGGGCTTTGCCTGTGTCCTGCTCAGGAACGGCCTGTGTGTCTGGTCTAAAGGCTGATGACAGCCAATTTAAGTCCATTCAAGCCCCCTTAAAGCTGCAGAATAAATAGCTCCTCAAGTTATGGGAAAAGCCTAGAGCTCTTGCTACTCGTCCTTGATGGTGGAATTGTGAGTTTGGAGTTTGAAGTAGGTTTTCTTTATCTGCTACATGCAGCATATTATAAGAAAATACCATGTAGCCTTCATTTTGGGTGAAAATTATTATGGCCTACAGGGGTGTTCCAGAGCCCACCCTTCCCATCCACAGAAGTTTCTTCAAAGGAGCTCTCTGTGGGCCTTTATGTTTCAGGAAATTAATTTCACTTAGAGCATGGTTTCTCCCATCCAAGAGTTTTACGTTCAGATAAATGTTAATACCTTTTTCTAACAAGCATCATTTGACCACAACCCAGCTCAGCATTTTACCATTTTCGTGCAACTACCTCTGTGGTCCAGTTTTGGATTTGATGTAAAAGGTATGCAGTTTACTCTTCAAGTCACCTCAGAAAAGTGTCATCAACTTAAAAAGCCCCTGGCCCTTGCTGGGCTGCAAGTGACCGTCTACAAATACGGGAATTATAGTGCTTGTCCTACATGTGTGTTGGGAAGGTGACATAAGAAAACCTGGGGAAAGTTGCCCAGCATGGTGCTCTGTAAGCACTAATTGTCTCTGAATAGAGACCTCCTACCCCTGGTTCTTTAAATTCCTTGAAGGCACCAACTGATCTTCATTAATGTCGCCTCCTTGCCAAGCACGTGTGTTGTGTGTCCACAAATATTGGTTGAATGGATGAAATGTTCTGCTCTGGGCCCTTACTTTTTCTGTCTCATAAAAAAGCAGACATGTTTGTGCTATTTTCACCTCAGAGCTCCCGTTACTTTCTGTCAAATTCTCTTATGGCCCCTCATCCCGTCTCTGTGAGAAGCAATTCTCCTTGTGGTTCCAGCCGTGGCTCTTCACACTTACAGCACATTAGGCACACAGCGAACATCACCTACAGTGACCACCGATGTCATCCCCTCGTGACATATGTCTCTGACAACTGTCAGAAGACATTCACAATAAGCTAAAAGACACCATGAAGGCCGTTTAAGGGCCATAGCGAGGGAACTGCTGGTGATGATACCATTTATGTATTCTCTTTGAGATGGTACACTGGTGACCTCTAGTGGCGAAATTGATTCAAAATAAGATTTCTAATATGTGGAAGTAAGCTATTAATCCTAACATGAGTGCTGGTTTTGAGAGGCATGTGAAAATTCCAGGGCTAGGATTAGGGACATCTATCAAAACATCACTACAGCCTTTTGCAGTTTCAGTGATGCATGCAAAAACTTGTCTTGGAAAAATAAAATGTAGAAAGGGGCAAATTTAGTTATAGGACACAGGCTCAGAGGACGCGGAGCAAGGGACGCGAGACATAAATAGTAAACGCCACCCTTCAGCACAGTCATGTCTGATTTGCTTTACTTTTGTCTTTATTTTTAAACAATCTCAACTGCCCCCAATTGGCAACTATGCCAAGAAGGATTGTTTTTTCCCTGAGTAATTTGAGAGTAAGTTGTCAAACCAATGCCCATCGCCCTGGATACTTCAGTGCCTATTTCCTACAAACAAGGACTTTCTCCTTCAAAATCACAATACAACCAACAAAATCAGGACTGTGACAGTCATACATTACTCCCATCTTCATCTTCCAAGTGCATTTACGTTTCACCAGTTGTCTTGACAATGTCCGTGATAGTAAAAGCATCCGATTTAGAACCATAGATTGCACTCACCTGTCATGTCGCTTTAGTCTCCTTCAATCCAGAACAATTCTTCAATAGATGTTTATGACCTTGGTACTTTTAAAGATTATAGGGTAGTTATTTTGTAAAATGTTTCTTAATAAGCTGACAAGACTATCACAGAAGTGATGCTGTGTTTTCATTGCTCCCTACCAAGTGGTACGTAATTTCTATTTATCCCTTCCAAGTGAGGTTAACTTTGGTGCCTTGATTATGGGGGTGGCTTACTCCATTTTCTCTTAATAATTAGCAAGTATTTAGGAGAGAGATATTTTGAGACTGTGAATATTTCTATTTCACACTGAATGATTTTCATTCATTTGTTTATTTCATGGTTTCCTAATTTATTGAGTGGGTTATAATCTTTTTATCCTTAGAGAAGGAGAAGAGGAAGAGCTACATATGATCACAAAATCTTTTCTATGTAGTATTTTAATCAAGTGCAGAGAGATTCTATTTCTACTGCCTCTTTATTACTAAAATTCTCATGTACGCTGACTTCAGTTCTTGAAAATTAGCCTCCAAAGGTGAGAAAGGGCAGGGTGGCCAACAAGGAAAAATATTCCTTCATTCATTTAGATATTTAACAAACATTTAATGAGCGCCTACTCTGTACCAGGTGCCCGATTCAGGCTGTCACTTCGGTGTGTCGGCTTTGAGCTGCAAGCCGGGCTCCTCTGACAGTGAACGGCTGCCGGGCAGAAGGCCGGTGCGGAGCATGCGCTCTCTCCTGTTACTGCGTGGCTGGCCTTCCCGACATTGTCAACTTTAATTTCTCGCAGGAGATGGGATGTTAATAAACTGAATGTTGGTATTTTCACATGGCTCTCAAATTCAGGACTCACATTAGGATTATGATCTTCACGTCTACGTATCAG